ACGGTCGTGTTTCTTAACCGATGGGCTTTTCAGCCAAGCCAAAGAGTATTGCAGCTTTTCAAGTATAAGAAGAATCCCCCAAGACCTTTCGAAGCTTGCATCATCAACAATCAATCAAGTCTTCTCGCCCTTCACATAGAGACCCGCTTCTCTATTTACTCTGGATTCATCTTGCATCCTTCTAAATCTGTATCTCATAGTCTTTCCTCTTGAGCATCTTTTTCTTATTCCAAGCATCCGTCAAAATGGCCATCGCAGCAACAGTCCCCGGTCCCGCCTCCCCGGCGGACGCCAAAGGGCAACTCCCTGTGAAGCCTTTAGGAAGACCAGTTCTCCAGCTCAGCGCTCCAAGCTACAGACGTCCCAGTCTCGGCTCGGAGTTGAGAAGCCCCCTAAGCGCCATATCGCCTCTCAATGCCTCCGTCTTGAGGAGTCCTCTTAGCCCTCTCAGAAAAATGCGCCTCGACTTTGCCGACTTCGAGGTCGGCTCGCCCATTGATCCAGTCGACTTGTCCGGTAATGATCAAGTTGTTATGAGCCCTGCCAGTTCCACAAACACACGGAGCCCTTTTAGTGCCTTGAAAGGTCCTCTTCGCAATGGTAGTCTTGACGAGGTAATAGCCAGCACTTCCAAGGGTAAGTTTTCGTTGGCCCCTCCATCCGATCCGTTGACTAAATCCCATAACCTAGGCGAACTTGTTACCACGGGGAATCTTCCTACACCTCCTGTTGATCAGACAACTGAGCAGGTTGCCCACAAGATCTTGGATGTTCTCGAGGTCTTTGGGAGGCACATCATTCCCGAAGGCCATGAGAATCACGAGTGGCTTGGACGCAAGATCTTCCACCCTCGCGTAGAAGAGTACGTCAAGAAGAAGGAGTCGGTCAAGATGATCATCCCTGCCTTTCCTTGGAAAAGCATCAACCGAACCGACAAGGTGACTGGTGCTCTTCCTGACCTCGGAGAGGAGCTCGCTCTTGCCAGGTTGAACGATTTGTGCGTGGAGATCGGCAAGGTTTACACTCACGGCGCGGAAGTTCATATTGCCACTGACGGTCTCGTATTTAACGGTTAGTTTGCACGCTGTAAAACCAACCACCTCATAGCATGGTTACTGATCCTCGAGTCAGACGTCGTCGGCATCTCAGATGACGAGACTTGGGAGTACGGCGCCACTCTCATGGACATGGCTGCGCAAAAGGGTTACACCGGCATCAAGCTTCTCCGTGTCATGGACTTCCTCGGGTTGACCAAGGAAGACGAGCCTCTTACCAAGGAGACGTATATGGAGCTTGTCGCCGAGAGCCGCGCGACGCTCGAGGCGCAGTTCGGCGACCCGGACAAGGACGTCCGCGCCATGATTGACACCGACAACGACACACTCATGACATACCGCGGCTTCATCCGCTTCCTCGAGACCGACCTCCGCAACAGCCCTGTCGCGGCGCACGCCAAGTCCGGCCACAAGTACCGCAAAGTCGTCAAGGAAGTCGCCATGAAGATGATGATGCGTGCCGAGTCTTTCACAAAGATCATTCTCGCCACCTGCCCCGATCACGTACGGCTGTCCATCCACCCCTCCAGCGGTGCAGTCAAACTTTCCATGCCGCTGTTGGAAGAGAAGCACAACCCAGACGGCTTCCCTCGCACCCCCTGGGACAGCTCCATCGCTGTCTCTCTTGACGGCGGCTACCGTTCCCTGCACGCCAAGGATGTGCGTGATACTCACGACCTGGTCATGAAAGATGGTCGTCCTTGGTGCTTCCGCGAGAAGTCTGAGCTCTTCGACCTCGGCAAGGACGTCGAGATTGAACATCTCTACCCTACTGGTATCGAAGTCCGCCCTCGCGCTGATCATGAGGAAGACGTCAAGCTCGACGAGGCGGCGCGTGAGAAGCTGGTGAAGCTTGCTAAGCTGCAGCCTGTCAACATTGTTGGCTTTGAGAACGCGCCCAAATTTATTGTTGAGGGCCAGAATTAAGCAACTGACCTAGGCCTGAAGCACTAAGGATTCCATCACAGGCGCATCTCGGTAATATCAGAATTTCGATTTCATCGTCAGGATTGCGAGTAGAGACACGGATTTGGGCTCTGCATGGGTTAGTGCAAGCGTTAATAGGCGTCACTCACTCATGGGTCACACGGAGTTAAAAGGCGCTGCGTTTTCTGGTAGACTCTGCGCAACATTTTTGTTCCAAGGGAACAGAAATCAGGCAGTAGTATAAGAGAAATGGAATAAACTTTCTCATTCAATTTTGGCTTTTTGTTTACCATGGATCTTTGGGTCTTATCTCCGTTACAACACAAAAAAACTACATGTCCGGTGCAATTCCATACTCGCATTTCCACAATTGAGATGTTGTTCATTACATTTCCATCGCTACTGCTTCAAACTGTCAGAAATGGAAGGAATCTTGGAACTACTCATCATCTCCCTCGGGCTCTTGCCCGTGGTGTTCTGCTACCTTGGGTTGAGGGCATGCATGAACATCCGGGCCGAAGATATTCTTGAAGTCGAAAACGCAAATGACGTCTACTAGATCGGCAATAAGAAATCGCATCTTATTTATCTTACAAAAAGAGATACTTTCACAAGGATGTATAGCAAAGGAAACAACCTCTGTCAAGCCGGTCGACCTACACGAAGCAACTCGGGCCACAGTTACGGTGCCGACTTAGACGCTGTTTCCGACCCAGCCTTCGCGCTCCATACATTACCAAGGATTCTCTCCTTCTCTATCACAGTATCACTTATAATTTTTAAATTCCGCCACGAAACATTAACAAACACACCGCAAAACCTGCTATGCCAGCAAAGCAAATAGTTCTACTTCAGGCCCCGAGAACTTCGTGGAACATTGCCCAGGTCCCTTCTGGCAGCTCTGGGCCAGGTTTATTTACATCTCGCCTGGCGTGCTTTGAGGAATATTCTTTTCGATCAGGCTTATGGGCATCTCTTGAATGGCCGATTTAGCCTGACGGGTGTTGGTCCAACGACAAGTTGCTTTCGACAGAGGAAGAGAATTGCTCCAGCATGAGCTCCTTTATTGACAGGATAACTGGAGGGCTTTTCTGTATATGAATTGGACGAGAGCTTGAGGAAGTTGCCCGCGTCGGGCAATAGAGTTCTATTTTGGTATTTTTACGCCTGATCCTTGATTTCCTTCTTTATCCTGGTGATTGTTCCCGGTCCGCCGTACGTCAAGCCTGTATACACCATGGCCACACTCGCACCAGCATTCAAGATGTTTAACGCTTGCTCTCCATTCGTGATGCCTCCCGTCGCGAAGATAACCTTTCTCTGGGTGTCCTTACCTTCAAACAGGTCGTGGGCCTTGCCAGACAGGCTGCCGTCAGTGGAAGGAATGGCAGCCGCCTCTTCGGCCGAGCCAGTCTGCAGGGCCTTGGCGTCGAGCTTCTTGCGGTACCTCTTGACCAGCTCGAGCGTCCTGTTGTACATGGCAGGGCCTGAGTATCCGCCCGTCTCCTGCAGGGCCTTGTGCTCTTGTGCCGTAAGCTTAACGCCCGGGGGAACGATGCCGGTACGGCGATTGGTAGTGTTGCCGACAATGACGCCATCAACGCCGCTGTTACAAACGGCTTGGACGATTCCCTCGACCTGGGCATCTTCTTCTTCATCGGGGGACACCTTGACCATGACCTTGGGGCGAACCTTGCGGTCAACCTTGGCGGCTTCGTCAACCACGGCGGTCAACAACCTCGTAAGGGGCTCGGTAGCCTGCAGGTCACGGAGACCAGGGGTGTTGGGGCTGCTGACATTGACGACCAGGATATCGGCGTATCTCGCCAGGCGCTGCACGCAGTAGACGTAGTCCTTGGCCACGGCGCTGACGTCCTTCTGGTCCGTCTCCTTGTTCTTGGCGATCTGCACGGCCAGCAGGCGGCCAGGCAGCAGACTGCCCGCAGGGACACCAGCCTCGCCGTCGAGAACCTCCTGCTCTGTGGCACCGACCCCGCGAGCGAACTTTCGCACGCGTTCCCTGAGCGTAATTGCCATGCTGTCGGCGCCCCGCGAGTTGAGACCGTACCGGTTGATCATGCCGTCGAGGGTCGGGACGCGGAAGACGCGCGGGCGGGGGTTACCGTCCTGCGGCCGGGGGGTGCAGCCGCCGACTTCGACGATGCCGGCGCCGAGGGCAAAGAGGGCATCGGGGATGTCGGCATGCTTGTCGAGACCGGCACTGATTCCAATGGGGTTCGAGAGCTGCATGCCGTAGACCTCGGTGGCGAGGGCCGGGTGTTCGGCTAGGGTCCTATCGCGTTCGCGAATGTGTAATCCCAGGTCGTAAAGTGTCTTCATCATGCTCGTGCCAGCATGGTGGGCGTCTTCGGCGTCGCTCCAGACAAAGCGCATCACCATGGGCGACAGGCGGTGGATCGAGGCTCGGGTGTCGGTGACGTAGAGGTAGGAGATATAGAGGGAGCCGGCGAGGGCAATGCCGTAGAGGCCGGCCTTCAAACTCGAGCCGGGCTGGGATTCGGTGGAAGGGCCGGGGCCGGTCGAAATATAACGGCGAGGGGCATTGCTAGGGAGTCTCGGGCGGATGGCGGTGGTGTTATTTCTGGCAGTGCGGAGGAGGGTTTGCACACTGCCGGATCGCACGCAGATGGAGGCCATGGCAGAGAAGAGTTGCTGGTCCTGGCCAGCACTCAATGGCACGGCGTTGGATGAGAACTGGGGGTTGGAGTCTGAGTTGTTATCGAGTGCCGAAGGCGGAATGCATGCGAAGTGCGGATGCAACTTTTGGCGTCGGTTTGGGACGGGTGGGCCAGTGCGGGTACAGTGTGCATTAACACGGTACCAAGTCTAAGGTAAGTCTTCCTAGGATAAAATCGTACCAGATCATGACGTCCTCCATAGTTGGTAGTCCCTCCTCTAAATACAACGCCATCCTAATGCATTACAAAAGAAATCACAGCCCTACAATGAATATCATATCTATAGCATTTCTTTGTGACAACTTTCTTTCCTTTCCCCCTACGCCTCCATCTTGGCCGACCTCACATGTGTAGCGATGGGCTGCACAACAGCATGAGTTCTCTCGTCTACTTGTTTAGCCTCCTCAACGGCCTCGGCTCGTCTGTTCAAGAAACTCAGATACGTCTGCCAACCCACGGCGACGACGCCCGAAAACACGCTGCGGTACTCCATGGGAACGAAGGAGAAGTTGAAGGCCATCACGGCGGGCCACAGCTTCCACGAATTGACGAAGCTCACAGGAACGGTCTGGCGGATGCGCTCAATGATCTGATCGAGGTTGTCGCCAGCCAGGAATGCCTGCATGCCGAAGAAGTACGAGTTGAAGATGGGGGTGAAAACCAACTGGTTCACGACAACCTTTGTGCCGATCGTGAGGAGGCGCGAGGCGTAGTTGAAGTTTCTCGAGAGGAAGATGAACCTGTGGAATGACAAGCTGGTCAGCGAACTATATCCTCGCCACTGCGACGACGACAACCACCGGCGAAGACGGACGACCGAACCACGGCTGCACGATAGCAGCACGACGACCAACGTACCACTTATAACTGGGAATGGACGCGATGGCACCGATGATGAGCGAGCGCATCGTCCGCTCGGGCTTGTAGTCCTTGCCGCTCATGTGCTGAGCCGAAAGGTCGGCGCAGAAGTAGATGGCGAGGGAGCTGATGACCTGAGTGGTCAAGGGTCGTTTCCGCTGGCTGCGGGCATACCCCTCGATGGCACGGGTTAGGGGCCCGAGGCGCTGCCATAAGGGGATGGTCGAGACGGTGTTGGGCACGGGGATGGAGTCCTCTGCTCGCTTCAGCTTGGGTGCGTTGGAGTTGGCACGGCGTTGGTGGTTCTGGGAGACATGAGTGCGCAGACGGGGCGCTTGGCGCCGCAAGAAGACCCGGAACAGCATCGTCGTCGACATGGCTTGCTTTTTTTGGTTGGTTTGGGAATTATTGAGGGGTCATGGTCGAGGTTATCGAGGGAGAGGTTTGTTTGCAGGTTGCGCATGCGCCGAGTCGCCTGCAACAACACATGAACGTCAATGCCGAGAAGCGAGCGAAGCAAGGCCAAGGCAAGGCAAAAGGCCCGTAGGGCGGCGGCTTCATCACACCCACAAACCTGCCCGCCTGGACCCCTGGACGCTCAGAGCATCGGGCGCCGACGGTAAATTGCGGCACTTCCGACGGCCCTTTTTATCGGCGTCCGGGCCCTGTGTGAGGTGGTGGGGCCCTTTTTTCGTTTCTTCCTGTTTCTGTTGGTCCGTCTTGCTGTTGCGTGCTTTTTTTTTTTTTTTTTTGCCAGGCCGAATGACCGACTAGCCGAAGTGACATGCCAAATGACTGAGGCGGGTGACAGGCCGCCGCTGCCAAACCAGCTGTCCGTGCCTGAGTGACAGCTGCCCACCTAGATAGTGTGGGTAGGTACACTAGTTGCTCCCCCTCCGTGCCTCCTTCCCAAAGCGAGAGCCGCCCAGCTGCGAAGAGCACTTGACTTGCATCTTACTTCTTCTCGTACAGAAGAGGTAGGTACTATCTCACCGATACTTGCACTCGCTTTGTATCACTCTCTCCCTCTCACCTTCCACATCGACGCTGACTGCCATTCAGGCAGGGGCAAAAGGCTGGGCGAACCATCTCGTTCTTGCTCGCTCATCATGTTACCTCAACGCAAGGCGACTGCCGCAGTCTAGTCCAGCCGCCATGGAACCCTGGTAAACTGCGCCTGCGCCTGCCTTGCACGAGGCTGATTGACTGTGACGTGACGCGCCATCGTGTCTTTCCTTTATTCGCTTCGCAGGAAAGAGCCGCCCAGCGAAACTACAGCAAAAGAAGAAAGAGCCCGAGAACGAGGGCTCTACCGCTCGTTCTTTCCAGCATACGCACACGCGCGTATCATATTCTCTCTCCTCCCCTTCAACCTCTTGTCTACGGCGTCTCTGTGACCAACTTTGCATATATATATATATATATATATATATATATATATATATATATATACACACATAGGCCACAAGCTCGGTAGGTAGTATGTGGCTCATCAACACAACAACCTACCAGCTCTGCATGTTTGCCGGCACCAATGTGCCGCCATATGCAATTCTCTCTCACACCTGGAGCTCCGACGAGGTAACCTTTCAAGACATTCACAACCTGCCCCTCGCCGCCACAAAGGCCGGCTTCGCCAAGATCCAGGGATGCTGCCTTCAGGCTCTACGTCACGACATCGCCTGGGCCTGGGTCGACTCCTGCTGCATCGACAAGACCTCCTCGGCCGAGCTCTCCGAGGCCATCAACTCCATGTACTCCTACTACCTCCTTTCTCGCGTCTGTTTCGTCTATCTCGCCGACGTCCCACCCCTGACGTCCTCCCCACCCATGACCCAGCTCCCTTCTCTCGCCTCCTCACGCTGGTTCACTCGTGGCTGGACCCTCCAGGAGCTCATTGCCCCCCGCCGCTCCATTTTCTACGCCGCCGACTGGTCCCGTCTCGGTACCAAGGGCCTGCACAGCACCGAGCGCCCTTTCATCCAGGCCCTCGCCTCCATCACCGGCATCTTCGAGTCCGTCCTCGCAAGGACACGCCACCCGCGCGACTACTCCGTCGCCGAGCGCATGTCCTGGGCCGCCGCCCGCCGGACCACCCGTGACGAAGACCTGGCCTACTGCCTTATGGGCCTGTTCGCCGTCAACATCCCCGTGCTCTACGGTGAGGGGCTGGCGAGTGCCTTCCGTCGGCTGCAGCACGAGATCATTTCCACCTCGCCTGACGAGACCATTTTCGCCTGGCGCGCCGATCCGGCCCGGGAGATCGTCGACCCGTACACAGGCGAGGGCCGGCGGTGGGCCGTGCATTCCTCAGGGCTGTTGGCCGATTCGCCTGCCGACTTTGCCCACTCGAGGGAAGTCCACCAGCGTGCGCTGCACTCGGCGTCCCCGTTCCGACTGTTCAGCATGACGAACATGGGCCTTTCCATCGTCGCTGAGGTGGTGCCGGTGACGGGCGGTAGTCCTCGGGGGAGCCCCGCACCTCGGATGACGCCGGACGCGAGACAGTTGGTCGTCATGCCCATCGGCGCAAGCGACCGTCCGACGGACACGTCTCCACGCACTCGTGTGGGGATCTATCTTGAGCCGGTGCTTCAGACTCCCTCGGCGGGCCAACGGCAGACGTTCTACCGCCGTGTCAGGTGCGGTGAGTTTTGTTTTGCGCCCAAGGGGGAGTTTTTGCGCGGCGAAGAGCTGGACATTTACGTTCTCGAGGACGGCCAGTTTGCCGAGATGCAGTTTGCCAACAGAACAGGCTCTCCGGGGCCGGGCGGCTGGTCGCCGTTAATCGGGGCCAGGTTGTCGCTGTCGCCCAGTGCGTCGCCGAGACCTTCACCGAGGGCGTCGCCAAGGCCCGTTATGGAAATGTGATTAGGACACATGGGACTGTGTCCCCCAACCTGGCACACATGCAAACGTCAATTGTACACCATTGGAGATAAATGAGGTAATAGGAGAACAGACGGAGGGGCAGAGTCTGCGAACAACACTTCAGTTTATGGGACACTCGAGGAACGAGCGGATTGGGTATGGAGCTAGCTAGATGTTGCAACAAAATAACATGCAGGGTCTGATAGGGAGAGTATCATGGTATAGTTCGATGGAGATGGAGAACGTCCAAGCATTTGAATCCTTTTTGCATTCAACCAACACACGCGCTGTGTGGTCTCTACTACTGAACACAACATTTGCCTCGCTTAGCAAGGCGAGTTACTCGGGTATCTCGTCCAGGAAACACCTCTCCTGTTGTAACTACAAACATGATTTTCCTCTTCTCGATCAATGGCATCACAACCCATGATAGATGCTCGTTCCCGTTTTCCGTTGCATCCCCCCTCGCATCCTTTCTTTTGTTTTGGTCTTCTTATTCTTCCTCCAAAGTCTTTTTTTATTTTATTTTTGCTCAGCCTTGATCCATCTTCCCGACTTCCTCACTGCCTTTTAGCGGCAGGTTGGACTTGGAGATTTCTCTTGCCCCTGGTGAGCCACGGCCAACGAGGCGGAGGGGAGAGGAGAGAGGGAGGAAGAAGCGGAGCATTCGTGGACGAGTGTTGACGTGCTGTACTGCCGTTCTTTGAAAGGACCTATTCTAGGCCCAGTCCCAAAGTGTTGCGTCGGTGTGAAATGGAAATCTCAAAAAATTGTCTCACCCCTCGGGGAGGAGACGTGGTATCAAAACGGTGTATATTTCCGGAACATGAAACGGACAAGGCGCACCGCACCGCGCCGTACCGCACCGCACCGCACGGGCAGCCCGGGGGAGACGGGCTTAGGCAGCACGTGGTGGGCGGCGCCGGTAAGAGAAGAAAGCGGGTCGTTAGGTCGTATCGTACATCAGATGAATCGGAGGGCTGAACTCGGAAGGGGTTTGTGTGCCCCCCACGTCCGAGTCAGAAAGGCAGGGGGGGAGCCGCCAGTGTTTTGTATCAAGTGTGAGTGTGAGTGGGATCGAAGACGGGGGACCGTATACAGCAAGCAAGCCAGCCAGCCAGCCAGCCGGGTGAGAATCATCGAAAGAGGGGTTTTTCTTGTTTCTTTTTTTCGTTTTCCAAGTGTTTTTGTCGTTTTTGTCGTCAGTGGCAAGGAAATAGTTGAGAATGAATGAGTGACAGTGGTCGGTGGACAAGGAAATGGTAATGAGCGTGGGTTGTCGAGGTTTCTCGAACGGAGAGAGGATGATAAGGAAATGGAAAGTCGTCTTTGTGATTCTCGTCGGCTTGGCTGGCTGTTTGCTTTTTGTTCTTGTCCCTGTCGTCTTTGGTAAGCTCCTCTACTCATCATCATCAGCGAGACATAACACGTTTGACTGCGTTAGTGCTCCCCCCCTCTCTGGTCGATGCTCGAGCGGGGAGACGACATGTCCAACACCCTTGCGCTCCCCGCGCTCACACGTCTGGCATTGCCCCTGTTGAGGCTGACGCTCGTGGCGCGCTGGAGCTTGGGCGACTCTCCCTCCGAGACCTCGGGCGATGACGACGACGACGGCGTCGAGGCGCCATCTCCGGCGAAGGATTTAAGCATGCCCTCGCGGCTCTTGATTCTCTGATGCTGCATGATGGTCGCGTGCGGATTCTCGACCGACCCCCACTTTATGTTGGCTTCGTTGTCCTCGTCGCTGCTGGGGAAGGCGTCGCCACTCGACTTGCGCGGCGTGCGCTCGTCCTCGTCCTCATCGTGGGCCGCGCCGCGCGAGGGCGTGGCGAGGTTGGAGAGGTACTCGTCGTCGGCTAGCTCCTCCTCGGTGCCGTCGGGCGAGGGCGTGCGCGTGAGGATCCGCGGCGGGACCCTGCCGCGCAACAGACCCGAGGAACGGCGGGCGCCGACGCGGCCCGAGAGCCACGAACCCTCCGAGTCGATGGACGCGAGGGAGACGGGCTCGGGCGAGGGCTGGATGCTGTGCCGCATCGACGTCGGCGTCTGCCTCATCTTCTCGAGCCTCTCCATCTTGTCGTCGACGCGTCGGAGATCCGATGTGGGAGTGTCGTGCCTCACCACGGGCGCCTCCTCAACAACGGCGTGGTGGTCTCCCGAGCCCGACTCTGAGACAACGGGCAGGGGCTCTTCCACTTCCGGCGACCCCACGCGTGAGTCGGGGGGGCTGAGGGGGAGCTCGGGTAAATCTTCCCTGAAGCGGGATCTGGTCCTCTTCGGGACGCCGTTGCTGACCTTGCGAGGAATGTAGTTCGCAGGTGGCGGTATCGTTCGCGTGGGCGCCTGTGCCTGTGATTCTTCTTGTTGTTGCTGCTGTTGCTGCTGTCGCATCTGCGTAAGCATCGGTGCCTGGGCCGCAGCTGCCGCCTGCATCTCTTCGCGCGACGTGTTCGAAAACGACGACGGCCCCGAGTTCCTCCTGCTCCTCTTGCCGAGCCGAAAGAGGGCCGAGAAGATGCGAGTACGGCTGCCGGACTCGGACGTCTTCCGCGGGGTCTCGCCGTCGTCCTGTCTGGACGAGTACTGAGAGACTGCGTGCTGGTCCGATTCCGTTGCGTTGGGCGACCTCGACCTCGACATCTTGCGTAGGAAACTCCGCCTCAATCGTATGCTGCGCTTCGGGGTGAGCTTTGTGCTGGTCTTGCGCTGCGGGACCGGTTGCGTGGGCACCGTTGGCGACGGCGGCGCTTCCGGGGGGATGCTCGTCGTTCGGTGGAAGTGGTGGACGGGCTCCGGTTCCGCCGGCTCGACGTCCATGGCGTCCGGGTGCGGCTCGGGTTCGTGCGGCGTCGTCGTCGTCGTCGTCGTCGATATCCTTTGCGAGCGGTGGGATGAGCTCCATGAGCGCTTCCGCGAGGACGTCACCACCGCCGACGGTGCGTCGATGCCCAGTCCGACTTCGCGACCCATGACGCCGCGCTCCAGGTTGACTGGCGGCGGCGAGCCGCTGCGCCTGGCTTCGGCCTCCATCTCGCGCTGCATGTCGGCCCGCCGCGCCAGCCGACGTTCCATCCGCTCCTGGTCTCTCTGCCGCTTTCTCTCTCTCCTCCTGTTATCCCTTTCCATCAACTCCCTCAAATCAGCGGCGTCCAAGTCGTCGGCGAAACTGTCGACTCTCTTGCGCGCTCTCACTACTGATTCGGGGACTCTCTCTGATAGCTTTCTCTTCGGTTGTTGTTGGTGTTGTTGTGCGTGTGAGGCCGCCCAACTGCTGCTGGGCTCCCATCGTGGCTGGACGGCGAATCGCAGAGTCGGTCGAGGTGCTAGTGCCTCGAGGGCGGACACCCGAAAGGAGTGCAGCTCGGTCTCGGACGACATACTCGAGTGAATCGACATGGGTAGCGATACATCCGAGTGCGGGTCTTCGAAGCTCCTGCGGAAGCCGAGGCCGGTCTTGAGTCTTTTGCTCTGCTTCCTGATGGGCCGCCCTGATGTCCGAGGGTCGGCCGCTGGCCGTACCGGGCCCAAGTTTGTCATGGCCTTGATTTCCGCCTCACGGTCCGTCTCGATTTTCCTCCTCTTGCTTGTCTTCCGGCGGAAGAGCTTCGACTGTTGCTGGGCGTGGCGTGCATTATGTAGGGTTGGCGCCCGCTTCCATGCGGGATCCCCTTTTTCTTCTCCGTCATTTTGGTCGGCTGGGAAGGGCCCTGTCAACCGGCCAGGTCCCGGTGGAACCGAGCCCTTTTGCCCCGCGACACGGATGGAGTCATTGCGACCGGGGGAGAAGCTGTACGTTCGTTCTCCCCTGGCCAGCCCGCTGGTCGAGGGATGGTGCTTTTCGAGACGCTGCTTCTTCGGCGTAGCCGCCCCCCTCGCCGTGGCGAAAGTGGCCTCATATTCACCTGTGTTGAAACCTGACGATTGATGCGGCGGCGGTCCCTCAACATCCGACAGGTTTGCACCGCTTCGTGGGCGTTTGCGACCGCTTCTCCGGCGGAAGGGCCAAATGGCCATTTTCCCATCAGCCAGAGATGATAAGGCGTACGTCGCGACGACAGTACAGTTTTAGGGGGTGTTGTGTTAGCGTGGCAGATTGTGTTGATCGGTGAAGGAAAGACTGCTGTCTGAGTGCATGATCGTAGGTGTATTATTCGATCGCGATCAGTGACATGCGTATCGTCTATGGACGGGCCTCGTGTGCTCGTTTCGGAACGAGTGCAAGACTGGGTGAGTACTTGTATGTCCCGAACGTGAGGGAATGCGGAAGCTTGACTGCTTAAAGAAGGATCCGGGATTGTGCAGCAAGCACGGAACTGGGCATTGGAGGAGGGGGATTGGTCCTATGTAAGTAGTGTAAGAGCGAGTGGAGGAGGATGAAGGTGCATGTAGTAGTAACAATACCGGTAGGTGTGTACTCCCTATAAGAGCGACGAAGCGATACAGATGGCAAAGCGAGGTACCTTGCTCTTTAGTCAAGGATTATCTGTAAAAGAAGAAAGATGGACGCAATCATGTGCTATGCAAAGTAGCAACGGTTAGATATGATGGAATAGCGGATTAAGGGGGGGGGGGGGCGTGGGAGTCAAAAACAAGCAGGCTTTCTGTCCGTAGATTGAAGAACACGCAGACAGGATTGAAAGGGCTGGGCCATTGCGATCTGTATATCCGTAGCTCCCTCCCCCTTCTTCTTAGACAGGTGCACTAAAGGCTTTGTTGCTTGGCTGGGGGGGCCGACTGGCTTGCCGGCCATGATAGTGTTAGCTTTTGCCGGTGCATAGGTACATAGCATACGGAGTATACTAGGTATGCTGGACCGAGTACCTTGCTGTACCTATAGGCCATCCGAACTGGGCCGTGTCGTGGCAGGGCAAGGGAGCATGAGCCATGAGCCGGGACCTCTGGGACCAAGCCAGGAGAGAAGCGACGGCAAGGGTTGGTTGGTTTGGGTTGGAAGATGGCAAGGGTTGCCCAAGTGTCAAGGGTCAAGGGGGTGGTGTGGATGTGGATATGCGTGTTTGTGTGTGTGAGTGTGTATGGACAGAATGTGGTGTGTGTGTGTGTGTGCCTGGGGGTCAAGGGGGTGTGCTGTGCGTTTGGTGTTTCTTCTTGCTTCCCCTAGCTTTCATGGTCTGGCAAGTGGTTGGCGGGATGCGGGACGGCCAGTGTAGGTACGTTTATGGCCATGGCCGTATGCACCATGTATGTATGATGGAGAGTTTGGAGTTGCGTTGTCATGACAGGCACACTACCCAGGTCATGAGGGATTGAAAAGACTGTCTATATGGGTCCCGAGGGGGTCATCTCCGTATGCGTGTGTGGAAAACCGCGCGAAACAGAGTGGCAGCAGCAGAAAAGCCATAACATGCCGAGCCCCGCCGTTTGAGCTTCTCGGGTTCTTTCAAGACGGCGGCGGGCCTTTGTCCACCATCAGGATAGATGGATGAATGGATGAGATGGACGGCCTACGACTGTCCTGCCGGCAGGGAGAATGCCAATGTCGTCGACGGGGACAAGGACTGGACCTGATCGCCGCAGGTTTTTTTCTCTTTCGGTGTCCAAGGGGTGGGACCTATCAGTTTCTTACTTTACTCCCTCTGTACTCCGTACGGTGTAGTATGTACACATGTACGGATACGTAGCAGGCGACCTATTCCTACACTAATGCTTGCCTCTACCAATATTCCCTGCTCTTCCCAGGCGGGCCAAGTTCCCGATAGGCACAGGGCTAGACTTTCAAGAACCCAATACCCCCTTGAAAGGAGCAAGCCGGCGCGCGACTGGTGCGATGCGCGATGCGATGCAATGTGTGTCTGCCGTGGCGCCGGTTCCTGACCTGGCCTGGCCTGGCCTTACTGACGACGAGCGGAGACTGAGAGCGAGAAGGAGGGGGAGATAGAGATAGAGAGAGAGAGAGAGAGAGGGAGAGAAAGAGAGGCGGAAGCCAGGTTGTTGAATATCTTTCCCCCTTCCTTGAGACCGGTATGCCTGGCCCCCTCCCCTCCCCAAAGTCTCATCCAGTCGTCCCGCCGCGCTTTGGAAGTTCCCAATGTCTCGCCGCCGGGCTTCCATAGTCTTTACATGTCTCGTCTCACCCCGCCACTGTCTTATTTGCGCCCAAGCCGCCTTGGCTGCACATCTCTAGGTAGCGTGGTATGGCGGGGCCGTCGCTTTAACTGTGGCCGTACGCCTCTCTAGGCACAGCTTATGAGAGTGACTTCCTACCTTGCCTCCAACGGTTCGTTCTCTCACCCTGGGCCCTGGGACCGCCCGCCCTGTGTGCAGGCTGAAGCAGCATGAAGCAAGCGGCATGTACGCCCAAGTGCCACAAGAGGAGTAGGGGGAAAAGGAAAATGGGAGAATGGGGTGAGGTGCGGTGTGGAGGTGGTTCAGCCAAGGCATCGTATTCTGCGCGCCGCACTCTCCCCATATCCCGCCCTATCCAGGCCCAATGGGTTTGACTCTTCTTCCGTCGTCAGCTGCGAGTAAGCTCAGCCGGTTTGCCGCATCCCAGAGCGGGAAAAAGCAGGAACGACGGGGCGCCTGGGCTGGGCAACGGGGTCCTCGGGTATCATCGAGCCTGCTGAGCTGGGGAGGTCGTCGTGGACCTGTTTGTTTGCCAGATCTCGGTCTGTGGGAATGGCCCCCCTCGGTTGGAACCCTCGGCGGTCTGCGTTGATCGCTCCCTCTTCGTCCTCCAAAGATGAAAAAGGCGAGGGCTGGGAGGGAGAGGGGGGAGGGGGGGGATGATTCATTCAAGTCACCGAGTCATCCCCTCGGAAGGGAGCCAGATTCGGCGGGCTGAGACCGACTCAAGCACTCCTGGCCTCAAGCAAGAATTAGTGTTAACGTCATGCCTTTTCAGTATTCCCATGGTTTTTACTATTCTCTACGGATACTGTGCCACATATTGGACCCCGAAAGAAAGAAAGGGAAAAAAAAAAAAAAAACAGCCACACGAGGATGACAAAATGCGCCGTCTCAGCTCCAAGGGTGGCCCCTCGCGAACACCAAGAGAGGGGATTAACCCGAGAAGCCCCTTGTTCCGCGATACACACTCATCCCCTGGCACTGGGGGATATCTAGTGGGCGCGAAGGACGCTGGATCATGAATGGATAAGGGGACAAGACCAGCATAGTTCACCGTCTTCATCGACTTGCCCGCCCGTACGGAGTACAAGGTAGCCCCCCAGCGTTGGTCCCGCCCGCAGCCTTTCGAACTGGCATGGGCGCCAGCCATCAATGGCCGTCGCTGTTGTGTAACCTCCCGTAACCTCCTTTCCCTTACGCCGGTGTTGCGTATGTTGTCCTTCGCCAGAAGCTTGTTGCCTTCGCCGCCGATGAGATGACAGCAATCAAGCTGAGGTGTTCATCCGGTTGGCTGTTGGCTTCTACAGCCAGTGTCCCCCGCCATCTTCACATCATTCTTACCCCATCTTACTTGGCTTGCGCCTCGTGTGTCTACTGAGCTTAGCTCTCAGACCTGTACAGGACGAGGCGTACGCTAGGCTCTTTGCTCTTACCATAGGTAGTAGGTAGGCTGGTTGACACTGGCTTGGCGCCAACGACTATCGGCCGTGCCTACACCATTGTCTTGCGGGCGGGCTGATCGGAGCGCTGCCAGCAATGCACGAACTGGTGCCCCCGCTGCTAACTAGCAGCAGGCCAGATACTCGATCAATCTCTCCTTCAAGCTTAACCCTCCACGTCCAATCTACCCATGTGTCACAGTCAATGGACGAAGCGAATGTGGACAGCGAACTATAGCCGAACTACCTAGGCAGCTAGGATATTGAGGGAGACACCATCTGACCGCCCCAGTTGCACTCGGGATACCTGGTAATACAATGTACAATGTATGTCGCCCTATTGCCTCCCCCATTGCCTCCCCCATTGCCTCCAGGCTCCACATGCCGCCCGTGATGCCGCAAGGACTGGCAGACTGGGTCGGTCCCTGGTTGGTCACATGAACACTTGCTTCTATTCCAGGCTCTCTCCTGGACTCTGGCCGACAACATATCCGTCAGGGAACCAGGAGTGTTTTGCCATCTGCATGCGTAACTTTCAGGACCGCCCCTCACGAAGGGGGCCTGCCTGGGTGCGTGGCCTGTAGGGATCGTACCTGTAAACAAAGCCGGAACATGTCTGTTTGCCAGGCCATAGGGGGGCTATTGGAGGATGAAGCAGGGATTATTCCCTTGCCCTGTATCCGTAGGTACACTACTCCGTACAGCTAAAGTACCGTTGCGTGCGGAGCGGGACGCCAGTACGTGTACATACATCGTAGATAGGTACGTACGGATAGTACCTCTTCGATCGGGCATCCACCGCCATGAGGGTCGTATCGAATCCAAATTCGCCAACGCCTGGTGGCCCTCTCTGTACGAAGGGACGGACGGGCTTGGCCTGGTGGGAACTTGCAGGCCGCCGTGGTGGAAAACATTCGAACTTTGCTCGTATTCGTCCTAAAATGCCCTGAACGGGCGCGGATCGAAAGACGCTGCAACCCCGTATTGGCTGCGGGATATCCAACGTCTCGGGGTCCCGGCTCTCGCAGCGGTGGACATGGGCAAAGGGGCCGGAATCAGAAGTCTACTATGTACGGATAGCTGTGCCTGTATTCTCCGTCACACCAGATGTCACCAGGGCCGCCAGACGGTATCGATGTGTTTGTGTCTGTGTCCGCTGTCTGGCATTCCATGTCGTGACCCAGTGCCGTTCCTGTTGGCATTGCGTCGCATAACGGTCTACTCTTCTTCCGCATTTCTTTTGCTGTCGGCGGCGTCACCTTGTCTGTTGGACAACGTTGGAATCGGAAGTCCCCCTCATTGAAGTAAAGTTCCAGCCATTATGTCATAGCCGCCGGCAACAAGGCAGGTCTCATCAGGGATCAGGAACCGCCCCCATACCCCAAGTCCAATAGTCACGACGTCGCAATGTCGTTACAGCTGCAGCTAGGTATTATATTATAGCGCCGTGTTCTGCAAACACGCATGTTGCAACAGCTCCATCACCACAGATTGAAGCTTCACCATCTCAATCCGCTTCGGTCGGCGGCCTGACCAGGATTGCAATTTGTAGGCGCCTTGGGGGTGGCGATGCTCTTAAGATTGGCGTTCCGCCACAACGTCATTGTGCCAGGGGGTGGGGGTCGTCCATCTTGCCATCTTGACCTTCCTAGCTTGTTCTATCCGTACTCTGGACGAATATGTGCTCAAACCGGATTCCGCCTCGGATCCGGCGGTGCTTTTTCACAGCTTCCATATGGGTAATTCATGCTGTACTACCGAGTACTTCCTAGCAGCGGCTGAACGAATCCTGACACGATTGCATGCGAGACACAATCAACCACGTTATGCTCGGACCTCATTTCTCCTGAACGGTCCAGCGAGCTGCAGGTGTCGACTGCACCGTTTCTCATTCATACCTGTCGGGCTCGACACATGGTGCACAAAGTCCCGGGGCGACGTTACTGTGCTGCGTGGTCCTACAGGCACTGCAGGACAGCGACCAGATGTGTATGAGCTGCTCGTTCCTGGACGCTTGACGATCCTTCCATGAAATTAAGCAGTCGGGAGCGCTCGAGCTCAACTAATCTGCAAGCGCATCTTACGATATTCTCTCGTATGGTCAATGTGTCCCCACCCAAGCTTGCTTATCGGCGGAACACCACGAGAGCCAACTAGTCGCGCGGCCTATGCACGGCGCCGGCGCAATGTGACGCCCTCCGGCGGACGAAAAGGCATCGGCAATTGTCGTCCATGTACGGATAGTTTGGGGGTTCACTACTTTTTGATAATCGACTGACATCCGAAGGGTAGGTTATCGGCAGTGGTTTTCGTCATTTGGTCGTTGCGGACCCAATGACGAACCTGCACGAGCTGTCGGAGCATACATATGCAGTAGATAGTATCAATAGTCGTCGCTGTGACAGCACGGCCAATAGTAGTTGTGATAAAGCCCCCTTTCGTCCGATGACAAGCTCCCTGGCGCCTGGCAGCCACGCTGAGCTGGGGACATGCCGAAAAACAATTCATGGCTGTTTCATGCTCCAGCTTCTGTCTGTCTTAAGGGAATGTACTCTCCGACCAATGACTCTGCCCACTGTAGGATGTTTCACTGTGGAGGTGTCAATCGATGTTATCCCGGCCGCATAGCGCAATGCGTGCGGTATGAGATGGCCCCCTGTCGCCCAAAGCAGCGGTTTGATGAAGCAGAGATGAAAGGTTGGAGCCTGCAAATCCGCCGAGCACCGCTTGGACGGACTGTCTTAGAGGGAGCCAGGCAGACATTGGATACCATGTGGGCGTTCGACGGGAGTTGGCTGGGGTCCAGTGCTGATCTCGGCCTTTGCGAACTGCGAGGAGTGCTCCTCTGCTCGTCGTGGCCTTTTCGGTTCGAAATTGGCTCTCTTATGTAGCGTCTGATGGGCTCTTCCCGTCGTGTAAACTAGGCGAGCCCGAGGTCCAGCCATAGAAATTGGCCATCTGCTGTCGAATGAGTACAATATTGGCTTTGGCGTCGTCTCTAGATTTGGGGCTTAATTTGCGTAACAGCTATTATGATCCAATCGATGAGGAGGAGCTTTTGTTTTTCGCAGCCGTCTGGGCGAGATGCAGAATGAGCTTCCGCGAATCGGCATTACGGCTTTGAGGAATGTACGCTTAGCGTTGAACTCTGTTGGGCTCCCGGATGCTTGTCATTGTGTCACCGTCTGCTGATCCCTTCATGCTAAATTAGCTTGACCAGGTAGTATAAGGTAAGATGGATTCGTGGTGTACTCCGTAGGTAGGTAGGTAATTGTGAGGAAATCAGGTAGGCAGACAGACCGACTCTGGGTGTGCGCGCAAAGGGCCCCCGGGAATAAGTCGCAGAATTTCACAGTGAGCAGCACGTGACTCAATTGTCGCCTTATCGATAAGGCGAGAGGGAGTGTGGTGTGTTGTGTTGTCAGAGCAACAACACAGTGATTAGGCTGTTTATGGCAATCCAATCTTTGACCACAAGCCAAGCAAGCAGGCCAAACACACACACACACAACCCGATCGTTATTTCCGCTTGGTTGATTTCGCAGCCATTGTTAGCAGCGCACCCTGTCTAGACCCTGATCGAGCATCTCGGAAAAGCCGCGCAAAATGTCCTACAACCCACGAATGAGCATTATCCCCCCGACGCAGACCCAGTCGCGAACCCGCAAGAAAGAAGATGAAGCCGACGCGTTCATGCGCCTTCCGGACAAGGAGATTGTCGGATGCATAACAGACATCGGAATCCCCTTCACTGTTGCCGACCTCCAGAAGCCCAACCCTCTTCAAGTCCAGATGATTTTCGAGTGGTTCGCTGAGTTGCTTCTCAACGCGACCCGCGAGACCGTCGAGCCCGCCATGCGCGCCGCTGCCGAGGACATCTGCGGCGAGTACGCCGATACCGTCCCTCCTGACACCCGTAACCTGATGGGCTTCTACGTCTCCCTTCGCCGTCTGCTTTCCGAGTGCGGCATCCAGGACTTCGGCTTCAACGACCTGTACAAGCCGTCACACGACCGTCTCGTCAAGATCTTCAGCTATCTCATCAACTTCGTACGGTTCCGCGAGTCGCAGACCAGCGTTATCGATGAGCACTTCAACAAGGCAGAGACGACCAAGTCGCGTATCGAGAGCTTGTACTCGGATAACCAGGAGATGGAGTCGCGCCTCGTCGACATGAAGCGCAACCGCAAGGCGATGGAAGCACAGGTGCGCGAGAAGACGGCGCGCAACGAGGAGTTAAAACAGAGGCTACTGGAGCTGCGGCGCAACCAGGAGCGCGTGGCGGCCCGTCTGGAAGACGCCAAAGTCAAGAAGACGGAGCTCACCACGGCACTGGAAGAGAAGACAGCGCAGAAGCTGGTCATGAAGCAGGAAAGCGCAAAGTTGCGACCTTACGTCATGCAGAGCCCCTCGGCATTGCAGGCAACACTCACGGAGCTGAGCAACGCGCTTAACAGCGAAAAGGCGCACATCGAGGCCCTGGACCGTCGCTCGCGCGCGTTGCAGACTTCGGCCGATTCCTTTTCGGTCGTGTCCACGGATGTGGCGTCCTGTATCAAGGTACTCGACGAGATTGGCGTCGAGTTGGCTAAGGAAGAGGAGGAGAACTTGAAGAACGCCAAGCAGCGTGATGCCCTTTCGGAGCGCGGTAACAACGTGCGAGAGGTCGAGCGCACAGAGGCGCTGTTGCAACGGCAGCTGCTCAAATGGAATGAGCGCACCGAGAAGCTTCGCGAGCAGAGTTCCGCCAAGGCTCAGGAGGCCAAGGAGAAGATGGAAGAGCTTCGTGCCGTCCATCGCAAGCTGACTGAGGAGCGGACGGATAAAGGCAAGGATATCGAGAGACGCCGTGTCCGCATCGAGCAGACTGAGAAGAAGGTTTATTTGATCCACCGCCGCTAAGATCTGCGGAACTATGATGCTAATGAGTTGGCAGATGCTTGACCTCAAGGAGAACATCGAGAACGAGATTCACAGCGCATACGATGAGTTTCTCAAGATGGATTCTCACATTAAGCTTTACATCACCGAGATGGAGCAAGCTTTGTAAGGCCGAAGTGTGCCGTTCTTCTTCCGGTCGGTTTATTATTATTTGAATTTGCTACGAAGACATGAGTTATAAGGATACCACGGGCTTGGCGTTGGTGGCTGGAACGGAGGATATCTTTCATGCTGGCAGGCAATGAATTCTTTTTTGGTTCTTTATGAGAGAACTGGTGATTGGAGACCTCGTGATATCATGTTAAACGTCCCATTGACCCGTCTGGAAACGGAACCATCGCCCTAAAACCTGTTTCGCCTTGACTGTCCTTCCCGTCCAAACACCCTCGTCCCTTCTCGAGCTTCCACTCAGGACAGGCACGTCGTCCTGCAAGACAGCCTTGAAGTCGCCGTGTCCTCCCGCGCCCTTTGGCTCAACGACGACGGGCTTGAACCCTGTGCGCCGTGCAGCTTCCAGGAGTGCAGCGGCCGAGTTACTGAGGCCTTGGGCGCTCCACTCGCTGGAGTCGCGGTGGAGGTTGAGGAGACCATAGACTAGAAGCAGGGGCGGTGGGCGTTTCGCGGATGATGGTGGGGGATAATCCGGAGGTGGTGGCGTCAGGGAGTCCGATGGGTCGAAGGCAGAGAGGTACGCGCGGAGATGTGTCACTGTCGGGATGAAGAGAATGCGGATGTGGCGGGCGACTGCGGTCTGGTAGAGCGTCGCTGAGAGGAGAGGTAGAGAACTCCGCTCCTCAGGGGTACCATGATCTTCTTCATGTGTGTTGTGGGCGTCAGATACGAGTCTTGCGATAAAGTCCTCTCGTGAGTAACAGATGAGGATCGTGGTTGGATAGGCCTGGAACGTGACGATGTAGTGAAGGAGTTCTACCGGTGAGGCTGGTGATAGCACCGTTGGGGCCATGGTGAGCGCACTTCTTGTTCTGCCAAGCACACAGTTCAGTCCTTGGTTGCTTGGACTAGGCTGATGAGCGAAGAGTGACTTGACGTTAGATCGAGCGGTTCTGCTTGGTTGTGTTGAGTGAGAAGCACGGGCCCACGTTCCGGTTGGCCACCCCAAACTCCAAACTGTATGATGGTGATTTCCTCTCGTATGTGACTGAAAGGTGGTTTTTCAGTCTATTTGATTCGTTTTTAGTAGTTTCATCTTCCCGAAACTTCGAATGGCGTACTTGGCTATAATTACGACTTAAATGTCAGATCAAAGCAGCTTTCCCCAGGAAGTGTTCGCAATTACGTAGCAGTTGTCCAACAAAACGAAACGCTTTGATAAATACAAATGTTGATGACTGATATCTGCTGAAAGCTCTCACTCTGATCATCGCAATCCTAGTCTTACAGACACGCATGTGAGACAGGCCATTCATCCGTGGGCATCGATGCGTCTTTCTCTTCCCCAAACCCCTATTAACGGTTGCATTCGGTTAGTTTGATCTCTGCCATCAATGCTTTTATCAACGCAAATGACGCTTTACAGAGAGGCTGAATAACACTGTCGGGCGACACGTCCCTTCTATATTGGTGGAAAGAAAAGTGTTGGTAATCGTAAGATACTTTGATCCTAGAGCTGCCCAATCCTTACGCGTATAACTGATTAGCCACACAACGAGCCAATGCAATTCGTTCCAGAGTCATGCTGCATTCCCAAATCATATTGAGTAGATATTCTTCATCGCAATTGGGTCGCTTAATACTTGTCCTTTTTCCTATCCTGATATTTCTGTATGTGCCTTCAGCATGCATACTTATTGCAGTTCCGCCATGCATCTTGGCTGTAACCAAGGGGTTTGTCATAATTACCTACCGGCAGCCATGTGCTCCTCAGAGCAGGTTTTCAAGTGAGCTATCAAATCTCTATCGCAGCTGGCCAATAAGAGGACCATTATACATGCCACTTCGCAGTAGCCTGAGTGCAGCCATCTCGTCATGGCCCGCACCGGTGATGATGTGTGACGCCTTGATATCACACCCGTAAGTAGGAAGGTGGCATGCACGTATATGCACAAACGACCAACAGCATATAAACGTTTCATCCAGATACTAACAAGGCTAATCGGCTTCTCTCTTGAGTGCCTTATCGCTCTCATTATATTCTCGTTCGCCCCGTTAGCCTTTCCTGTAAGCATTCCAGATTCCTATGTTCCACACACCTGACCCAGCTCTCTCGCCACGTATACTTTGACTTGTCCTCGCTACCCACAATCGCAATTATTTTCAAATTGATTGGCGATTCTAGCTCATTATATTATCTCCCTGAATTTAGCCATGGATGAAACAGATGCCATACCGTCTCCTATCATCCAGGAGCTGACTAACCTTCTCCAGGACGCATGCCCAGACCTGGAGGATTGGGAGTTCAAGTTTTGTATCGCCAAAGCAAATACAGGAACACGTTGTAAGCACTCTCTGGGGTCCTCGAAATCAAGGGAGGCTGAAGATCTCTGGCGCCAATTCGGGCTGATGAGGGGATGGCCGGAGACTAACGAGTTCCTCGATCTGGTTGCGGAGTTTTCGCCGTCTCGCATTGCTACTCTCATAAGAGGAACGCCAACGAGAACCATGAGAAATGGAAGAAAGGCCGTGTAACGACAGTATCTTTGTTGCCCGTTCAGGACCTTACAATTCATGACAACCATGACGACAAGGGTACCGCTACCACGACTATTCATATGACCCCCACGAGACAAACTATAGAGTCCAGAGATGAAACCTTGATAGGAGTGAAGAGGCGTGGGGTATCCGTTTGTGTGACGGCAGAGACAGACACTGTTTCTACCAAGACCATCGCTTCCAACAGCCTGGACACCACCAATGATTTGGGCAAGGATACCGTCGCTACAATAGAGAGAATCCTCAGTCATAACCAAGAAACCATCCAGCAGAATGAGCTCGAAGAGAACCACGCATCCTTGTTTCTCGAAATCCAAAAGCCTCCTACTCCAGTGGAAGCAGAAAGGGGAATTGTCTATGTTGAGGAGCACGAACTTGGGAACGGGCTTTTCAAGATCGGCTGGAGAGAGGACACCGCAAGAGTCAGCATCACGCCTTCTGACAGCTGCAACAAACTAAACTCAAAGGTCATTTACGAGACGCCCGGTGGTCCTTTTTTGGCGGCGAGCAAGGTCAAACAGCTTAGTCTAACTGCACTTCATCCTCAGATCCTGGTGGTCATGGAACGCCACCATGGCGGGCGAGGATATGAGGAATGGATCAGTGCCCCTTTGGAGAAGGTTCTGCAGACAATCAAGACCTTGGAGAACTTTGTCAAGCTCCCAGCCTATGAGTCGAAAGATGGCCAGAACTGGGAGCTCTCCTTTACTGCCAACAAAATCATCAGGGGCATGGACATCTTCTTGTTGGAAAATCTGGAGGGTTCAATGAATTCAACCGAGGGAGACTCCGCTGGCAACACTGTTGCCGGCTTTGCAACGGGGTTAAGCCAAGAAACGGTCACTTGCGTCGCCGAGACTGCTGCGTCTCCAACCTTACTCGACACCGAAGAAGAACTGGAAGGGAGGCGAACCCTTACCACACCCGATCCCAAGAGTTTCAGCAAAGAATCCAACTCTGAAAAGATGTGGGAGCACAAGAGCAACGAAGTGAGGCAACTAGTGTTATTGCCGATCTGTAGTGGTGTGTGTTGTGTGTGGTGAGGAGGAAAATCCTCCTCTCAAGGCTATGGGCAGAGGCTGGCGAAGAGGTGAGGGGCCCGGGAGGTCACGTGACCTCCCAGCACACGGGCCCCCTCACAACAAAAGAAGTCTGGGACCGATTCTACAGAGAAGAAAAGAGATAAAGTCAAGGGCTGGTTTGCTTGGGCCAATCTCAAGAAGCATTCCAGCACGACAGTGACAGCAAGGCAGGTTTTGAGGGGGAATAGAACAAGTGAAACTCAGGAAATCAATGGTAGGTACGCTGTAAAAGGACTTTCTTGAACTTGATACTGGAGAAGGACAAGCATCGTGGAGGGCGGTCTGACCCCGTGTTCCCTGGACCAGGATAATGGGGGTTATGTTGAAGGATTGAACAGCGAATGAGAACGTATCATGATTGCTAAGTGAACATTGATGAGGCATTGATGTGTGTTGCTTAAGCGATGAATGGCAAAATGTAACCGTCGAAACGTTTTGGGCAACCGGAGAAGCCATGGCCTAACCTACGTCGGCCATACTCAAGTCTTGGGCGAGAGCATTTCCCAAAGTACATGCGCAAACACTAGATTCCATGTGCGACTTCTATCCTGCTGGTATGTGCTTGATTGTTTGAGAAGAAAGGGTATGCTAACTTGCTATGTGACATCACTCATCTGAATGGCTTGGTTTTCAGAGATTTGGGATGAGGAAGATTGCGGTGCTTCGAATAGACCTAATCGTCATTCTTTCGAATGGCTAAACATGATGGATATTATCAAATAACTTAAACACGCACACACACACACACACACACACACACACACACACTCGTTTAGTACTGAAATCTGAGAGTACAACATATTGGTCCATTCCAAAACTGTGATAATAGATAGAATAGAGTCTTGAAGGGTAGATAAATTGGCTGGGCAAGGATTATAGGTGGGGTCGGACACCTACCTAGGTAGGTACACGTGCCTAGAACGTGGCTTTGGCGGGGGCAGTTTTCGCTTAGCTTAGCGCCCTTGCCCACTGAAGTTGAGTTTTGTCGACGGCCCCGGGAGGTCTCTTAGCGACCGACCGGTAGCCCAAGCGACAGCTAAGCACGCCAGCCGGCCGCTGCCCCTCGTCGGCGCGGCCTGGTTCAGCCTTCCAAGGACTAGACGTCATCTCCTCTTGCAACCTTCACATCTCCACCATCCCGAGGCTGGTTCACCAACCCTCCTCCCCCCCCCTTCACCCACGACTGCTTCAGCTAGCTCCGACCTGCTGTCGCTCGTCATGGAGTCCATCGCGCGGATATCCAGTCTGCTCGAGAGCGGTGCGTCATTGACCGCCCACCCGATACCCATGCTGCTATGGTGGCCCTTGCTAACGTCGATCCCGTTCAGCTCGAGAGCTCACACTCGATGCTGCCTCCGCTACGCGTAGCTCCCGCAGCACCGGTCGTCCTCTCGACCGTACGCAGATTAAGAAGCTGTTGGACAGTCGAAATGACCGCGAGGTGCTGGACGGCCTGCGCCGCGTCCTCTCGGTACGGATCCTTCCAGCCGGCTCCAGCTCCAGTCCTTGGCTAATCCCACCTCCGCCCAGATGATGTACCGCGGCCAGAAGACGTTGCCCTTCTTCTCATCTGTCGTCAAGAATGTTGCATCCCCCAATATAGAGATCAAGAAGCTTGTCTACATCTACCTCATTCACCATGCCGAGCAGGAGCCCGACCTCGCCCTCCTTTCCATCAATACCATCCAGAAATCCCTCTCCGACACGAACCCTCAAGTCCGCGCTCTTGCACTCAAGACCATGTCAGGTATCCGAGTTCCCGTTATTAGCCAAATCGTATCCCTCGCAATCAAGAAGGGTGTGGCAGATATGAGTCCCTACGTGCGCCGAGCTGCCGCTCTCTCGATCCCCAAATGCTACCGCCTCGACCCCACGCAGCTGCCGCAGCTGCTCGAATACCTCACCGCTCTCATTGGAGACAAGCAGTACTTCGTCGCCGGTGCGGCTGTTTCGGCTTTTCTGGAAGTGTGCCCAGACCGCATCGACATGATACATCCGCATTACCGGGCATTGGTTAAGAAGGTCGTGGATATGGACGAGTGGAGTCAGTTGGCTACGCTGCGAATGATGACATACTACACGAGGAAGTGTTTCCCGAGACGGACGCACAGCGTCAAGGGCCAGGAAAAGACGGCCGACCTCGGTGACTTTTACGCAGAAAATGCGCAGCAAGGGGGCGAGGAGCAGCAAGTTATCGCGGTGGACCCGGACTTGGCTCTGCTGCTCAACGGCATCAAACCCCTGCTGCAGAGTCGTAACTCAGCCGTCGTGATTGCGGTCACGAGATGCTACGTCGAAATTGGAACGCCGGAATACGTCAAGATTGCCATAGGCCCTCTTGTGGCACTACTCAGGGGGCCGCAAGACATCCAGCAAGTTGCACTCTACAACATCGTCTCAGTTTGCTTGACGAGACCCACAGACTTTGTCAAATACGCCAGCCACTTCCTTGTCAGAGCTACAGACCCTACGCAAGTGTGGGAGTTGAAGTTGGAGATCCTGACGCTCATCTTTCCTCACGCGCCCCCTCACATCAAGAGCCTGATTCTGCACGAGTTGGAACACTTTTCCGGTTCGACGAACAAGGCGCTCGTAAGGGAAGCGGTGCGTGCCATTGGACGATGCGCCCAGACAGACTCGTCAACAGCACCGAGGTGTCTTCGGCTGCTGCTGGGGCAAATCACGAGTCTTGACGGAACGTTGGCGGCTGAGTCACTGACAGTCATCCGACACCTGATCCAGCAAGATCCGCAAGGGCACGTCTGCACGGTCGTACGCCTCGCTAAAAACCTGGACTCTGCAACGGATCCTCACGCAAGGGCAACCATCATCTGGCTGGTGGGCGAGTTCTCGGGTCTCGAGGGCGAAGACAATATCGCAGCAGATGTGCTGCGAATACTCCTGAAGGACTTTGCGAATGAGGCAGAGGTGGCAAAGGGGCAGATCCTCCTTCTTGCTGCCAAGGTGTACCTGCACCACGTGAACCGCCAGAGCGAAGACAAGGGCGAAGACGAAGCAGCGGTGCCCAACCAAGATGACCATCCCGTCGCAAAGCTTTGGGACTACGCCTTGCTGCTGGTCCGCTACGACACGTCATATGACCTTCGCGACCGAGCCCGCATGTACCGAGCTCTCCTTTCTGTGCCCCAGCTGGCCACGTTGATGTTGTTGGCACCGAAGCCCGCGCCGCAGGCTCCCAGCCCTTCAGAGATTCGCAAGGGTTTCATGCTCGGTTCTTCGACGCTTGTATTGGCGGGCGGAGGTGGCATCCACGGTCTGCGTGGCTATGAGGGTCTTCCCGACTGGGTAGCGGAGGGCTCGGAGCCGGACCGACGTCTGCGAGAAACAGAGACACCTTCGGCTTACGGCGGGGAGAAGAGCGTGCCGGCCAGTCAAATGCTCGACAATGCGGTCAAGGCTGCACCGACGAAAACTAACGGTCTGGGCGCTGCTGCTGTTGGTGCTGGCGTCGGCGTCAAGACGCTCGATGATTGGCTTGCAGAGGAAGAAATAGAGGAGCAACAAGAAGCATTCAAAATGGATGGAGAAGACGAAGAGGAGTCCGAAGACGAGACCGATGAGGGGGATGACGATGACGAGGAGGAGGAGGAGGAGGAGGAAGAAGAAGAAGAAGAAGATGATGATGATGATGAGGAAGAGAGCAGCGACGACAATAGCGAGTAAAGCAACCAAAGCGCCTAGTGGTAATGCCACACAGGGCGAGATGCTGCTCTCTCAGGTTGAGATGAGAAGACGAACAAAACCAAGCATGCCCGTATTTGCAGATTTATCAGGAATTGATACCATGGTCATCACGAAGCGACTGTTCGGAGTCGTCTATGCGAGTTACGAACATGGCCCGCCAGTCAGAGCGCAGAGACCCAACTCAACCAAATCCTAGTACTAGGTATGTACAACACACCGGACTGACACTCCGGTCATGGCGCCGCGATAGGAGGGGAGGAGCAGAAGAGCAGGCATGCATGCATGCATGCATGCACGTTGGCTAAGCGATCCGAGGGACCCGAGGGGTGCTCGTTCTTCCAATGGCGGTTTCACTGCCAGACGGCCCTCAAGATCCTTGTCGGTTCCTCGGTTAGGAACTCGGGTGGCGGCCAAGCAGCATCGCTTAACTCGTGTCATTCGGGTTGGATTCCCCCGCCAAGGCGCTAGAACGATGCTAAGATTCGGGTGTCCAACCCTGGGAATCGTTGCGGTCCCCAGCTTTGAAGGTAGGTATTGACTGACTCTTGACTTGATCGGTGGTTGTTGCACTGTTGATTCCTTTGGTTGATGGTTGATTTTGCTCAACCAAAGAGTTTGTCCAGCTCTTGCTTGTCAAAACACACATCATGACGGCGACACTCGAGGCTCAAGTCTCGGGCGTCTCACCCAGCCTGCAAGCAAATAGGTAGATACAACGGCCTGACCACCAATGACCTTCGAATTCCAAAAGCCCCTAAGCGGCAACCGCACTGCTTTCCAATCCGAGAAGGCCTGCGGGTCCTCGGGAGCCGAAGAAGGGGATCTAGAGAGGCCTTGGCTCTGCACTCCGCAGCACCACCATTCGCCTCCTTTCAAACGTCCATCCCCTTCGTGTCATTCGGTTTCTTCGCTTTGCCGGTGACCAACTAGTCGGACAAGACTGGTAATAATGGAAGAGGGTCCGTCCCAACTCCACTGCTGTTGCTTCCCCCCTCCCCCTGGTCGGGGCTAGGAGGCAACGCTGGGTGCCGTGTGGATGCAATGCGCCTGCGCCTGTTTGTGTACATATATGTAGATGATGACGGACGTTCATCTCTTGGGGATTTTGACCTCCCGTTTCTTTACTTCCATCTCGCCTTTGCGTCTTTGATTCTCGCCCTTCATTTTATCGCTGTTCTGTTTCTTGGACCCTTTGGCGCCCGTTTCGTCCTTGAGCAATCAGAAGGACTAACAGCAAAACACATCAGGACTACGACTGGGTAGCCCTGCGACCGTTCTGGAGATACTGCTACGAGCCACTCCATCCTGCGCAAGCCTCGACTTTGAAGAGCCTCACACGATCGCCACTCGATAGAGAACCCCTCCAAAACCCGTCACCATGTCGGCCAACGAAACCACGATGCGGCGGCCGTTCCGCGAGTGCACCGAGGTCTCGCAGCTCTGTCCCGTCGAGATGACCGTGCTGTCGTACTACCCCAACTTGGGCGCCAACATCTTCTTCGCTGTCGCCTTTGGCCTTGTCGTGCTCACCTCGGCGACCATCGGGACGTGGAAGCGCACCTGGACGTTCATGCTCTTTGTGACTGGCGGCTCGATCCTAGAGACAGTTGGTATGTATGGTGATACCCTTCGCCCTCGACGAACGGCTGGAGTTCAGCCCATCTGCGATCGGATGAACCCTCGCCCCATGCCACTACTCTTTTTCCTTCTTCTTCTTCTTCTTCTTCTTCTTCTTCTTCTTCTTCTTCTTTTTCTCGTTTGCTGTTGTCATGATCCAAAGACTAACACGAACCCAGGTTACGTTGGCCGGGTCCTCCTCCATGAGAACCCCTGGAACAAGGACGCCTTCCAGATGCAAATCTGTACCATCATCCTCGGCCCGACCTTCATCTGCGCCGGCATCTACCTGACCCTTAAGCACGTTTCCGCGAACCTCAACCCGAGCCTCTCGCGCATCCGCCCGCGCCTGTACCCCCTCATCTTCCTTCCCGCCGACCTCACCTGCCTCATCATCCAGGCAATCGGCGGCGGTCTCGCGGCGGCGGCGGGGCAGACGAACAAGAAGCTGCTCGACGGCGGAAACCAGGCCATCATCGCGGGTATCGTGCTGCAGGTCGTCGTCTTGGTGCTGTTCGGCGCCGCCGGCGCGGACTACTGGCTGAGGGTGAGGAAGTGGGCGCACAGCGGCGACCACAGCACCGGCGACATTGCGCTGTACCGCGCAAGAAATTTTAGGATGTTCCTCTGCGGCGTCGCGGTCGCGTACGCGTGCGTCATGGTCCGTTGCGTTTACCGGTGAGTTGGATATCCCCACCAGGCAGAACAAAAACGGATGAATCATGCTGACAACGGCCAACAGTGTCGCCGAGATGGCGGGTGGATGGGGCAACCACATCATGCAGGACGAGGTCTCGTTTATGATCCTTGACGGCGGCCTCGTGCTGACCTGCGTCACGCTGCTGACCGTCTTCCATCCCGGCATCTACTTCCAGCAGATGAGCAAGTCCAGCAAGGCGCAGGCTGGGGAGAAGACTGGATCGACGACGACCTCGACGCCGGAGAACGTCAAGGTCGATTCGGGACGCGAGTCTGCATGAACTAGAGATTAACGTTGGTGCTCGTAGAAAGGAACTTGGGCTATATGTATAGAGGGTAATGGGGGCCTCCGGGTCACGCGTGGCGTTTGGGATTTTAGAACTCGTCTCTTGCTGCTGTCGATCCACGGCGGAACTCGGCAGCATTTCCCCTTGGGATAGAGACGCGTGCGGCCTGTAGAGGTAGAGGTCACTGCTCGATCAGAATATCTGTTTTCTTTCAAAATCAAAAGGCTGAAAGCCTCCATCAAAGAGGTTGCCCTTGCATCTGTGCGCTTTTGCTCTCTTCAAACATCCCATATGAACATGTTCCTTCTGTCTAAAAACACTTGTGTGTTACTACCCAAAACGGGTTTCTCAATAATACCATTGTTCGTTTCTCATCACTGAAGAGTAAAATTCAAAGGACTGTCCAACCTAGTGACAAAATATTTACATATAGACTCGAGTTCCTGAGCAAGTGAGCCAATCCTTGTGTCATCAGCCGCTTCGACTGCCTCTTACCAGTATTCGCATTTGATAACCACCTCCGGTAGGTCGTACCACCGAACAACAGAACAAGTCTCACGATGTGCGTCACAGACGTCGTGCATTACATGTGCGGCATTTGCAACGCCCGCCTCGGCAAGCCGTGGCGCCGAACCTTCGAGCGGTGCTCGGCCGCCCGCGCCGCCGCGTCCCCCCATTGCGGCCTCCTCTACGACCCGGTCCCGGATCCCGCTCGTTCAGACCCGGCGCTCGACTCCTCCGGGCTCGAGTTCGAGGTTCTCAAGACCGCGCCGGGGTACACCCTCATCGAGCCCCAGCACCGTCGGCCGAGGCCAAAGGTGGTCCGCTGCGAGCTCTGCGTGGAGCACCTCGGCGAAAAAGAGGCCAAGGCCAGGGAGAAGTGGTGGAGGGCCGAGATCAGGGCGTCAGCGGGCACGCGCAGGGAGAAGAGGGCCGCTCCGGGGCCGTCGACGGCGGGATGGTGCGATGTTCTTCGATGAGTGCCAATTCATTTTCTTCTTCTAGATGCTTTCTCTCCCTCTCTCCCTTCATGAAACTTTCTAATATTTCTTTTCTAGCCGCGTAGTCGTGGCGGAATCGGTCGATGCTCACTCTTTGCCGCCCAAGTACCGGTACACCACAGAGAAGTCTCGCCCCTTGCAGTCCTCCCGCCCTTCGGCCGCGGCATACACCTCGGTCGCCTTGCCCGCCAGCTCCAGCTTCGCGCCCGCCTCTTCGGCCGCGACGACGGCCAGGCCGAGGTCCTTGCGCATCAGCCCGATCCCGAAGCCGCCCTTGTAGTCCCGCCCCGCAGGGCTCCCCTCGACGACGCCCCCGACGGGGTTGTTCACCTCACTGGGCCAGCACTTGCCCGTGCTGACGTTGATCACCCCGGCGAGCACCTTGGGGTCCAGCCCCCACCGGATGCCGAGGTTCATCGCCTCGGCCGTCGCAATGTTGTTGATGGCGAGCAGGTAGTTGTTGGCCAGCTTCGCCGAGAGACCCGTCCCCTGCGGTCCGCAGTGCAGCACGCGGCGGCCCATGCGCAGAAGCGTGGGCTCGACGGCCGCGAGGTGCGCGGCGTCGCAGCCGAGCATGAACGTCAGGGTGCCCGCCGTGGCGCCGACGACGCCGCCCGACATGGGCGCGTCGACGAAGACGCCTTGGCCCTCGGGCTGGGCGGCGGCCACAGCGGCAGCGACCTCGCGCGAGGAGGAGGGGTCGATGGTGGAGCAGTCTATGAAGATGCGCTTCCTAAGCGGGAGGTCGGCGAGGATGGAGGCGTAGACGGATTTTACGTGAGATGGCTCGGGGAGGACGGTGATCACGGTGTCCTGGTGTTGGGATGGTGGTTAACATGTGATGTCCATACAAAGCACGTCCCCGGAGAACGGAAATAGACAAGAATAAGCTCGAATCAGCGACTAGAAATGTAGTAATATCAGGGCCCTTCTTATGGCCGTGGTCATAGTTGGCAAAACAGTTTAGTTTGGACATCATATGAGCAACACAGGCGATCATGTTACACCTACAAAAAAAGAGAAAGAAAAAAGAGAGACTAAGAAACGAAGGAGAGAGAAAAAGAAAAGAAAAAACAACATACAGCGTCTGTCGAGGCGTCTCTCGCGGTGCTGACGACGGCTACCTTTGCGCCGCCGGCCTGCGACTGTTCCATCTCTCCGGCCAGGTTCGAGACGGCGGTTTTGTTGATGTCGAAGATGCGGATCTCATCCTTGGGACTTAGCTTTGACTGGAGGTTCTTAGCCATTTGGTAACCCTGTGTGTGTTAGCATCCTGAACGTGAATTGGTTGTAGGGATGGGAATCTTGTGTGAGGGCGGTTACCATCTGTCCGAGCCCGATGAAGCCATAGCTCTCCAGCCGCGGCGTCGTCGTCGCGAAGCCGCGCCGCTGGACAAGCCTGATAGTCCGCAACGTCGTGGGAGCCCGCATCGTGCAGCTTCCAACGAACCAACCCACAAGATGAAAGAATTGCGAATCAGCCAACGGAGTGAGGAGCGATCGAGACAACAAGGTGTTGTCCTAGGATTAAGCAGCCGAAATCTGAGGAGACGAGCTCCATTCCAGCCGAGCTTAGACACCCGCCCCCAGGTTTCCCAGACTGCGGGGAGGGGGGATGCAGACAAGGAAGAGGTGGACGGTTATCCGGGGAGCCGGCCATTGCCGGTGTTAGCCATCCCGCTCGATCCTCGATGATGCATGGCAGGCAGCCTTAAACCGAGCCTCTGCCCACCCCCCGTGTCCCGTTACACGTGGCGCGCGGGAGCGACCCCGGATTAGACCATAAAAGAGGGCCCCTGGTGAAGAAGAGACGTATTAAGGATGCATATCATATACGGTGGCAAATACGCCGTTGAGAGAGAGAGGCGTCAAGGCTTGTTCATGATGTAGCGTACCTATGTTGGATGCATCGTCCGAACCGAAGATGTTTACTCAGTCGAGTATATATCAAGGGCAGTTGGCTGATAGATGTTCGGCGCAGTCAATCTCGTTTTTCTCTCTCCAGCAACTCCCCTTTTCATAGCATTATGTGGAGGCAAGCCCTAATGACATCACGGCGTAATGTGACAGGAAACCATACCCACCGCCGGATGCAGATCGTCGAGAGGGTCAAGCAGCAACCAGGTTCTCGAGTTCGGAAGCCTGTTGGAAGGCTATGTGGAGCAAGTTCGGCCAAGCACCCGATCCCCTCAAAGCTTCATTAGCACTTCGCTATAGCTACTGGACCGGGGGATAGGTGTCAAAAACGTCGTTGGAAGGTTGGTTGATGAGCAAACCGCAGCAAGACTGGATACCAGACGCAAGACAGCAAGGAGCTCAGTAGTATCCTGGTGTCGATAGAGTTGGAAAATGATGATGACGAAACTACTACAAGCAGAGCCAATGTCGATTGCAAACGTACATCGCCGGAACCCCCATATTCGACGCCAGCAAGCAAAGGCACCTAAACAAATACATCAATTACACTCGCCCTAAATCCTGAACCGCGCGGTTTGGCTCTTCCGCAACCCCCCTCCCTCCCTGTCACCGTAAGCAGACGATTCCAATGTACACTGACTTTGATTCCACCCAAAGATTCCACAAGCAAAAAGAGGGAAAAGAAAGCCAGCCCGAGTTCTCTCGAGCTCTATGGGTATGAGCGAAAGGCAGAAAAATGATATAAACAAGGTCTGCCGCCATTTCCACCACCCAAGCCAAAAAATAAATAAAAAAGTCCTCTGGGCGATTGCAATCCGCGACGTGCCGCCCCGTGCTGCATGGCCAAGACCACCATCTGTTGCTCTAATACCAATCGATTCGAAATGAGTCGGCGGATTTATTCAGAAGGCTCCCACAAAGTATGAGAACGCGCTACGCACACATAAATCAGTCGACTGCCTCTGCATGGCCCGGGAAGAAAGGAGCACTTACCCAACAGCCAGTGACACGGCACTCAGGCCGAACAGGGCCCGATTCCGCACACGCAGTTTCTTGACCTGTACCTCGGCGGTCTTCGCCTTTTTCGCACGCGGCTCCTCTGCACTATCTACTTCGCCGTCCTGTTCCTTGTCTTCGTCGTCTCCCTTGGAGATCTCTTCCGCGCTACGCTTGCCCTTCTTGACTTGAGGACTGTCCACGCCCTCGTCCGACTTGATCCCGGCAGCCTCGACCATCTGCTTGGCCTCCGCAATCATTCGCGCTGTCTCTTCAGCAGTTGGCGGGGCGGAGCTCAGCAGCGGGAGTTCTAGTGACACAGCAGTGCGCTTCGTCTCGTTTCCATCCTCGTCAGTCTTCAGGTCCTGGTCAACAAAAATCTTGGCCTTGGTGTCCTGCTTCTTGGGCTCCGGGGCGGCCGCGGGCTCCGTCTCAATGGTCTTGATGGCGGTTTCCACTCGCGCCTCAGCGTCTCTGTCCTCGTCAATGATGCCGTTCACCTGGAGCTTGGTTGCGGTAGTGAGGGTAGGCGTGGATTCTCGGGGCTCGACCGAGTCAGCCTTGGTCCTGCGCTTCCTGGGAGATCTGACGGGTCTAGGGGCGGCTGTCTTGGTCGGACTGGCTGAGCGGCGAGATCGGGTGCTGCGGGGCAGCGATGCTGGGGTAGGAGGAGCGAGTTGGGGGTGAACCTTAAACAGGTCGAATTTCGGCGGTGCGGTAATCCTCTTGGGAGGGCTGTCGGGACTGTTGGAGACGGCGATGTTGGCGGGATCAAGCAGGGCGCGGATCCACGGCGCGATGCTGTACTCCTCGGCAAGAATCAAGGCATGTTCTGGGGGGATCCAAACATTGCCGGCCGTCTCCTCAGGGCTGGTGGTGGCAAGCGACTTGATATACTTGCGTTCGGCCTCTTCTTCAGAGGCCTCGGCGTAGGGAAAAGTGGCCTTGAACATGCCGGTAGCGGACACGAAGCCGTCGTAGCTCCGGCGCATGAGGAAGTAGCTGTTGGGGCTGGACTTGAAGATTCCGGAGACGATTCCTTTGGGCAGGGGAGCGCGGAGATGCGCATAGTCGAAGACACCAAGGGCCGCACCTTCACCGTCGGCATGGTTCACCATCTTGGCATTCAGCTGTGTTTGGCCGAGGCGGCGGCGGGCGACGAGGTCGTTGTCTGTAGACGGGTCAGCAAATCAGGAGCCCTCGAGAACGAGTTGGTTCATGTCCATACAGGATGGCACATCTTCGAGCATCAAGGGGTTATGCTTGGCGGGTAGGTGCCGCTCAGGAGCTGTCGCGGAAGGCATCTTTGGATACGGGGTTGAAGGCGCAAAAATGGTGATTAGAATTGGGTAGGTGAGGTGTTCGCGATGCGCGCGCACTGGAGCAAACCAGGAGGGGAAATGCTCGATATCGCGTCGCTTGCGGGCGGAGTCTCGGTCGTAGGTGGATAGACTAATCGGCGCGTCAGCAGTCTGAGCACAGATATGAGCGCATCAGTGTCGCGCGCGTGCGCAAGACAAGTGAGAGAGTGCTCAAGGTGTAGATATGTCGCTTACTGGAACTGGACCCGTCAGAGCTGAGTTGGAGAGGTTCTGCGTGCGCAAGCGTGACGTGACGTGACGTGACGTGACGAGTATCCCGTCGCGTAAAAAAAAAAGGGTGCAGGGGTAGTAGATGATAGGTAAGGTCGAAGGAAAAAAAATTAGAATTGATTGTATGCAACGGTGACGGCGTCCCGATACGGGGGAGGGCACAAAGGGCAAAATCTGTTCTTAAAGGATGGATGAGTGGAAAACCGAGGGGGAAGAGAGAGTGTGTATGTGAGAGAGTTGGAGGAGAGGGCGACCTGCGAGTAGGGAAGGAACAGAGGCAGGCGGACGGGACGGGCAAGGAAGCGGAAGCAGAAGCCGAGTGGAAGACACTGATGGTCGCGCGCGAGAGCAAATTGGAATAGCGGAGGACGGGACGGGGGAACCTGAGAACCTCACCAACGAGGGGCCAAGAAGAGAAAGAGAAAGAGACCTTTGGGGGGCCAACGGGAGGGTCCTCGCGGTCCTCAGCTCATTGGATTTGATTACAGGTACCTCCTAGGTAGGGACCTACCTCAGAAGAAGGGGGGCAGCTGCGGGTTCGGGAAGCGATGGGTGTGCCGAAGCGTGTGGCCCGATGAGGAAGCACGGAGGGGTGAAAACTTCCTGCGGCATAAGGGGCTACTTTCTTTTGGCTTTGATATGTACTGTTTCCACAAGTATCTCCCTATCTCAACTGTCATTTGCCGCTTTCGGCGACACCACTCCCCGGCGCCTTCCCCGGAAAAACGGAGAGAGAGAGAAAGAGAGAAAGGGAAAAGAAGGCCCATGAGAGGAGAATCAGAATCAAATGTGACGGTCCTGTCCCTACCTGCCTAGGTGCTACGTACCTACTGCGAGGTATTCTCGCCTATTCCCATTGCATGACCCCGGTCAACGTCCTTGGTGTAGAGTGACTTTAGGAGCTGGGCGACTCAGCCGTTTCAATGAGGGCTCATCGTCAGCACACGTTCTCCTCTCCCGTGCCAGAGTCCCTCGGAACCCAGAACCAAAAACCCAGAACCCAGAGCTACCCCCCTGCTCCCCAACAATTCTCGTCGCGAACGCGCAAAGCTCAGAGCACTATGGGCACTGTTCTCAACCTGGAGAGCGGCGAGCTGGCTGTGGGCAGGAAGGACCCGCCATCAGTTTGACTTGGTCGACGGGACGGTTTGGAGGAAGATATCGCCATCAGTGAGCTAGTATAGATCCAGGGGTCCAGACAAAGCTGGGTATCACTGGCAGGGCAACGACACAATTGAAACCGACTACGGATACCTCAATGTTGACACATTTGCATTTCGCCCTTCTTGATCCGCAACCCGAGTAATACTTGGGCACTGAGACACCGGACACGTGTAGCTTCGGCTGATGGCACGAAAGATGCAACAAGTGCTCTGAGCTTGCTCTCTTAGGTAGACTGACTGGAAGCCGTAGGTAGACTGTGCACATGAGCACGCTAGCTACAGAATACGTCACGGAACTCGAAATCTACACCTGCCGAGTGAGTCTGTCGTCGGCGGCGGCGGCTGCTAGAGGCTAGAAGCGGACGGTGCCTCGCGCTGCTGGTGTCCAAAGATGACCTCAAATTGCTTCTTCGCTGCCGCTTGGCCCTTCCCCGCATCATGCACCAGACGACAAACGGCTCGGACAAGACGCACATGGCACATGTCGCTGCTACACAGCAAGAGCCTCAATGGCCACATTCGTAGCTAATTGGAGAAAAACAACGTAAAGGTACCCAGATAGCTAGCTAGAATACCTATCGAACCTAAGGTGAACTTAGTAAGCAGGCATAGGATCAGAGTCGTTTGGGTCTAATGCGTGCCCCTCATCAGCAGCCAGGCATTCCAGACCGATCATCCGACCAATAGGTATCCTATCCTGATACCGTGGCCAATGCCAATGGAAGGCTCCTTTCCTCCCCTCATCCCCTCCCCTCCATCCCCATTCCACCCCCCTCCTGTGTCACCTACGATGGGTAGGGCACACCTAGGTAGGCACAGGCCCATAAACGTAGCAGTATCCGTAGAAGAGTACATATTGTACGCTTGCATATACCTAGATGTATGTTTCCCCAAACCCCCCGTACCCTCTAGTGTACATAGGTAGCCAACTCAAGCCAGTAAAGTGGGATTTAGTGGCTACAGCAGCAGAATCAACCTCTGGCAGCAAATGCAAGCGTGGGCTTTGTCGATTGTTCCTGGTTTCGTGTATGAAGTTCCATCTTGTTCCAGATGGCGGCCAATCAATGCAAGCATGGCCCCTATCGATCATCGTGGCCAATGATACGCCTCAATTCGTCCAGTGTCGGCGGTTCCAGGCCCACACGGCACCTCTCTGGGCCCCACATCCACCTGCCACAGCCCGTCGCCTGGCCCTGACGTCCCTGGCCTGGGCGTGGGAGGGAAAGAGAGAAAGAGAATGAGGGGCAACAGAAAGCGGTGACCTCGCAAGTGCGGCACATGAGTGGGTGGACAGTGCTGCTGCTGTTTGTACCTTGCCCAGTAGTTGCCCGACAGCTTGGACTTATCACTCTTTAACCACCTACTGTGTCTGAATCTTCAAACTTCTCTCCTCCAGAGCAAACATCGTCACATACCTCATCTCTGCTTACTCACAGCCTCACCCGCCACTCAATACATACGCCCAAAGCCATCTCGCAGGCCTCTTTATCCACTCATCGCCAAACAGCTCCCAGCTCCCGCCAGTTCCCCCCACCACCACCACTACCGTCATCATGGCTTCCCACGAGCAAGAGGACACCATGCCCGAAGAGACTCAGGGCTACAAGCTGTCCCAGCCCAAGCAGAGTCTGGCCGAGTACCAGAAGATGGGTACGTTTGCTTGATTCTCTTGTCTGTTCAGCCATGTCTTTTCCCCTGCTTTCCCCATCATTTTGAATGCTGCTGGTGCTCTGCTCTGCCCCTTCTCTGGGAGGTGGTTGGACTGGATTGGGCTGGGTCCTGCGGGTGCCCCTCACACCTTCACCTTGAATTGGGGTTCGGTGTGCAAAGCCTAAGCTTCCCGTAGCTTGGTCTTCACCTCGGTCACTGCTTATCAGCAGTGCTTAATATGGCACCGTATTCAAAGCACACTTCATGGAGGCGGCATGAGGAAAGAGCGAAAGACCTTGCAACCACTACCTGCTTGTACCTGCCTGCCATTCCCCAGCTCCTATTCCGCAATCGCCCTCTCTCCCGCCGTCTTCTTTCATGGTTAATTCTCAGTGATACCCCCCTCCCGCATCCTCACCTTTGTTTTCTATTATGCTCATCACCACGTCAATATCGCACACCGGAATTCATGATATACCACATTATTCATGGATATGCTGTATGATGGCATGCGTCTGTTGATGCAGCGGCGTAACCGCAACAAAGCCCTGCTCAACCGCAACTCCATTGAGCTTCCTCCGGCCCCCCAGTCCACTCCCTCAGGCTCTCGTCCGCAGTCACCTACGCCTGAGGTGGCTGAAGAGAGGCATCTTCATCGAGCCAGAGCCACTTCGCGCCCCGTCCCCCCCAATCCTCCAAACTCCCCCAGGTTGCTGGAGAACAATCCCGAGCAAGACCCAGCGCTCATCCGAGACTTCTACACATCCCTCTATACTGTCAGAGCGGCTCATGGCTTTGCTACATACGAGTTACAGGAGGAGAGCGAGCAGCAGCAAAATCAAGAGAAGAGAAAGCAAGAATCGCCTACTAACAAGGCCACAGACGAGAACGACGAGTCTCTCCAGCGTTACAAGGAGTCTCTTGGCCTCGGCGGCGGCAAAGACCTCTCTGACGCCTCAGACCCCCGTGTCTGCATTATCCAGTCCCTCACTATGGAATCCCCTGGCCGCGACCCTGTGACCATCGACCTGTCCAGCCCCGGCTCTGAGGCCACCCTCAAGGACAAGCCCTTCAAGATCAAGGAGGGCGCCAAGTTCACCATGGTCGCCAACTTCAAGGTCCAGCACGAGATCCTCAGTGGTCTGCAGTACGTTCAGGTCGTCAAGCGCAAGGGCATCAAGGTTAGCAAGGACTCTGAGATGCTGGTAAGTCTATATGTCCTCACATATCCCTTGCTGTGGCTCCGTTACTGACGCATGTCTACAGGGCAGCTATGCTCCCAACACGGACAAGCAGCCAATCTACACCAAGCGCTGTAAGTTGCATCTTTCCTTTTGTCTGTATTTCAATTGCTGATGCTGACTGCCATTCAGTCCAAGAGGAGGATGCACCCTCCGGCATGTTGGCCCGCGGCCACTACAACGCCATCTCCAGCTTTGTCGACGACGACAAGAAGACTCATCTCACTTTTGAGTGGTCCTTCGACATCGCCAAGGACTGGTAGACCACGGTTGCCCCTCAACGTTCAGCCTGCTTCTTCTTTTGCCACCCTCGAGGGAAGTCAGAAAGCAGTCTTGCGGCTCCTGGGCATGTCTAACCAGCTGAACCGATACCCGACATCTAACCTACTGGTTTATCGAGGTGTTCTGCGGTCCCAGTAGGCCTATGGCGCAGAAGCGTCGCCGGTAGATGGTATTCCTGGTTGGAAAGGGTAGGCGGGACGTATGCGTCACTCATAATGCAAAAACAAAACCAGAAAGAAAAAAAAAAAGGAAGGAAAAAAAAGCACAACGAGCCCATACGCAGGGGGAATCACAAGGGTTCATAGGCGGCAGACCTGGGTCGAAGCCTTTCTTGTCATACACTGCGCCACACTTAAAAAACATGAACACCTTGCAATAAGGCTCATACATTGGGTATGGGACATGAAGCCACGATACGCAAAACTTGGTTGGTAGGCGGCTCGCAGATACATGTTATTCCGGGATCTCATATATGAACCCGAGCCGAAATACAGACAGATCCATTGGATCGTCATCAAAACTGCACCATGCGTTTGTCTCGTCGTGTTGACTAGGCTGGGTAGTAGCTGCCGTTTCTACTAGTGTAGCTAACGCCACGTTGTTGGTGGTTGCTCTTGAAACTCTTTTGCCTGGTCTTGGGTTTGCTTCTTCTTGGTCGTCACCAAGCCAGTGCGATGTTGTTGTAGGGTGATGTGTGACGTGACGCTTTCATCAATACATAGATAGCATCGAATCCGCCAGTTTGAATGGTCTGTCCTCCTTTGAACCAGACCATACACTACAAAAAGTAATCGGGTAGTGAGTTTCCGTCCGCCTGCTTGTCCCCACCGCCCAGCTGCATGTCCTTGTGCTGGTCGTTCTCTGGGGCTGCAGCGAAGACGTTGAAAAACCTCTCGCCCGTGTCGCTGACCTCCAAGACACTGGCCATATTGCCGCACCGGTAGCAGTAGTTGGGAGCGCTCCACACGGTGCTAAGGCGGTCGTCGTACAGGACCTGGAAGCCCTCCTGGCACAGCTGGTGCGCCCTGAGGATGTGGTCCATGTTGTTCACGGCCAGGAACTTCTTGACCACTTGCGCGCCAAAGGTATACCCTGCCCCTCGGGGGCTCAGAGAGAACTCGTCCCGCTCGGGGTCTGGGTCGGACCAGACCAGGTCGGCCATGGGCCCTTCGTGGGGGATCTCTCGGAAGCGGTCGATGATGACAATCTGGTCGATGGAGTGGATAGAGGGGGAGAGGCCTGTCGGGGTTGGATTAGTCAAGCGTGAAGGTAAAGAGAGGAACAGGGAGGCGCGAGGTGGCGCCTTACCTCCGTGAACACAGAAGATCTTGTCGTTGATAACAACGCTGAGGGTCAGGAAGTCGAACATGTCAGTGAAGTAGTGCCACACATTGGCGTTTCCGTATTTTCTTGAGCATTCCGTGTAGAAGCCGTAGGACTGGGTAACACCGCGAGACTCGTGGTTGCCTCGGATCAAATGCACGCGGTTGGGGTATCGAAGTTTCAAACACACAAGCAGAGATATCGTTTCGACGCTGAACATGCCGCGGTCGACATAATCTCCTGCGACGGTGGGTTAGTTTTTCTCGGACAGCTGCCTTGTCAGACCGCCCCTAGGAGGCCGTTGCGTACCAAGAAACAAGTAGTTGGTGTCCGGACACCATCCACCAATCTTGAAGATCTCGATGAGGTCGTAGAACTGGCCGTGAATGTCGCCGACGACTGTGACGGGGGCGCGGACGTGAACGACGTTGCTCTCACGCATGAGGAGCTCTTTTGTTTTGGCGCAGATGGCCTCGATGACGGACTCGGCGAGAAGTTCCCTCTTGTACAAGCGCGAGATGCACTCGTCGAGGTCGACGGATGCTGTACACGACGTCGTTAACAGAGATGGGCGGGAGAAGGACACGGAGCATACCCGGAAGTCCAGGCATCGCGGCGAGTGCGATGTAACAGCGGGCGCTATGTCACCGGCTGGTTTGATCTGTTCAAAGAGAGGGTATGTAAAGGTTGGCTGCCGGTATCGTCGGCGCAAGGATCGGTCGGTCGGTCGCTCACGGAGCAGGTCGTCGGTGACCACTTCTACTCCAGACGTGGGCGGTGTGTGGTGAGGAGCGTCGAGGTTGCAGTAACATGATCGAGAGCGACGATCCTTTACATGGGAGCAGGAAGCGCGACGGCGGCAAAGCGAGGGTGGAAAGAGAAAGAGAGAAGACCAGGTCAGAGTAAATTGGTGTAGACTGTCCTATGATATAAGCAAGGATAGCATGGGGTGAATCCACGCGGGGGAAACGGACGGTGGTGTTTAGTCGAGTACCGCAAGGCGCCGGGGAGGGGGGAGGCTCGAGGGAAGCCGTTGTGAGATGGAAGCGAAGGAGATGCGCACGTCGTGGGAATGCCTTCGCAATGGCGTGGGTCCCTTTATCCGGACCGAGAATAGCTTTTTGTGTTGGATGTCGGCGGCTGTGGCAGCGGTACGCGGGACGTCATGCTGCAAATAAGAAAAATCAGAACAGACGATGGCGCCCTGTCAAACTGGATTACCTGGGTATGTACATAGGTACCAGGTATTCATGGTATTCACTACTCCGTAGTGTACGGATACCTAAAACCTACTGGTACATACCTAAATCGAGAGCTCGGGCCAGCCGATAAATCCCATCCCACCCTCCGTGGAACCACCACGGGATGCGAAGTTAGGGGCCGACGACCACTACAAGCCGCTAGCACAAGCGCTGAGAGCCTGAGACGGTATTCTTCAAGCCTTGGTCAGGGAAGCCCAGTCCAATCTTCTGGCATATGTCAGCAGGGGAGCGATCCTGGAACGCTGGGGCTGGGGGCTCATATAAAACCACTCGTTCCCCTCCCATCTCTCCTTTGAACCTGTCTGGCACGCGCCCTTCTCCTTTCCTTTACCTCACATTCGCATCCATCCCTTCTGTTGCCGAAACTGCGTTCCGTTTTGCCTTCCCCGTTATCAACCCGCGTCGGGCTCACCCGTTTTTCGGTTTCAGTTCCTGGTCGGTGGTTTTCGTTGTCGTTTTTGTTTCGAGAAACTCTGCAACTTTCTATTCTATCGCAGTAGTGGATTCGCGGATCCATTTCCTTGCCTGTTTTCAGAAGAATATTCATCCCGCCGTATTGCTGGTCTGCCGGCCTACCTACCCGCCTGCTTGCTGCTCCTTGGGCTGCTTCAGGGATTCATTCCAACGGCACCTGGAATCAGGACATTGGCGGCGCTTTATTTCACACCCTTCTCATCTCATCCAACCCGCCCTTGGACCTTTCTTGCTCTCCCAGCGTTTCAGTTCTTTTGCTTCCATGATCTCGAGCTTTTACTAGATGCTATGCTCGTATTCCTCTGCCACAAGGCTTCCATCTCTAAATCTAAAAAAAAAAAAAAAAAATGAAGAGTCTTTTCATACTCTGTATCCCATGAAAGTCTCATTTTGTCTCGTTGAAGGGCAGGTTGTTTGGCCAACATTCTACCTGCCCTGTACTGCGAGCGACGAGAGCAATCAAACACCCCAGTGTGCCTTTCGTGTCGTTGCATATCTGCTACGCCATCACCGTTTGATGTGATGCCCCGTCGGGCTCACTCAACGACAGCAGGGCACTAGTCGCGTCATCTCGGACGGCTCAACATGCTTCAGAACCACAATCAAACCCCTTGGTAAACATCACGACGACGTGTTTCGGGCCAAGGTCTCTTCCGTTTAGGGTGTTTCTGGGCCAGACAGAGGACGAATGCATGCCTCTTGTGAAAAGAAGGTGTGACTTGTGGCTTGAAGCCCTTTCACTCGGTAGGTAACCTAATGACTTACATCAGATACTGGTTGTCTTTCTTCGTCACCTCCTGTTGTTTTCAGTCGGCCACCAAACTCGACTGGGTCGATCCCGCCGCCGTACCTGAAAAGAAAAAGAAAAAGAGAAACCATGGTCGGCCCGACAGATTATCCGGCATCCTCCTCAGCCTTCCTGCATGAAAGGCATATGCTTGTGGTCCAGCCAGTTGAGCTGTGCCTTCGCTGGGCAGGTAGACTGGCCCCACTTTCCGCCTGACCCTGGCACGCGCACCCTTTGACTTTGGTCAACTTCGTCGCGTTTTCTCTACGACCTCATCCTAGCTGTCAACCCCCCCCCTTTGAATGCGCCCAACCCGAACAATATTCGACTGTCGCATTCTGGCACATCCTGGCAATCTTCTTGTTGATACCGGGTCACCCGATGGTCTTAATGACGACCGTCGACTCGCCTCTTGTGGAGCGCTTATCCTAAGTAAGGCCAGGCAGGGCTACGGGCGATGCGCCGCCTCACTCAGTCAGCACCCACTCATTTGCTGGAGACATTTCTGAATGCCTTCATTCTTGTCGCCTTGACTGGATCCCTACTGCCAAGCTCATCTGCCCTAAACGTTAACGCCGGGTATTTCACTCGGTAATTCTCGGCGCATCGCGAGTACCAAGGTTGGCGGCCCTCTTTCCTTTACTTTGGCTCTATTTCTCATGCGTCTATCAGACACTTTTTGCCTCTTCTTTCGTCCTCAGAGGCCCATCACAAGGTCCATCATTCGAGATCCCGCCCAGCGCCACTTCAAGTTTCAGAGGTCGCTCTCTGGCGAGAGTATTCTCGTGCCCCCTTCTCTCTGTTCTTGCAGACCTTCGTCGCGCTCTGCCTTTTCACCCCTCCACACTCCAACCGGGTCAAGTTGTGGCTCAAACTCCAGAACTGAGGTGCCTCGTCCCATCTTACCAAACTTTCCACGAGTATGGCGGACCACGCACCCGGCTCAGGGCCTGCTACAAAAGAGCCAAGCTGCATCAATTGTGGCGGTGTTGGCCATTGGGCTGTAGCATGTCCGGAGCCGGTGAGAGCGAAGCCTGCGTAAGTTGCTTGATTTCCAATGTTAGCTTCATACAATGTCTACCATTTCCTTTACATGAGCGCCACTGACTCGTCCAAAGTGGTTTGCCCCGAAGAAACACTTCAAGCAGTCGTGACCATGGCCGAGGGAGTAACCATCAACACGGCGGGAGGCGACCAGGCGCTGTTGTGACCAAGTATCCCGCTCCACCTACCGGCAGTCAGATCGTCACTCGTTACGGCCCGCCACCGGGCCAGCCCCATGCTCCTCCGGTCCCCAGACCCCCGCAGCCCTATCCGTCTTATCCACCCTCGCCGGCCGGGTACGTGCCCCCGCCGCCGAGTAGCTACCCCGGCTATCCTCCGTACTCGCCGCCACCGCCTCCGGGCGCCTACCCACCACCTCCTGGCCCTCCTGGACCCTCGGCGCCGTATCACTACCCATCTCCTGGACAGTATGGTGGGCCCCCGACGGGGCCGACTGGGCCTCCACCCCCTTCTTACCAGCCACCGCTACCTTATCCTCCCAGTGCTTCTTATCCTCCCTCTTACACTCCTCCATCTGAATACCAGCCTGTCCCGGCTCCTCCCCCTCCTCCTCTTCCGCCTAGTGGACAGTACTCTGCACCATACAATCCCATAACATACGGAGGCTACTCTCCATCCACATATGGGCTACCTCCGGCGCCACCGCCATATAGACCTCAGCCAGGCCCTCCTCAGCCTCCCCCTTCGTATGCCCAGCCGTACGGGCCACCTGCTTCGGGAGTCGGTCCATTGCCTCCTTTACCCACTCCCCCTCGGGGTTCACCACCAGGTTTACCGCCCATCCCTCCTCATAGGAATCAACTGTCGCGAGATCGACACGGACGGCATCGACAAGGTCATAACCACCGACCTGACCGCTCCCGCAAGAACAACAAGCACAGCAACCCCAAACGTGATGCACCACAACCAAGACAGAAGTCGGACGGTAATAAAGAGGAGCAAGAGCCAGCCCAAGTGGTACCCGAGCCGAAACAGCCGAAGACTGCATCAGTACCAAATGTAACAACCCCCGAAGGTCGACACGACAACAGCGTATCTGAAGAAGGCGTCGATGATGACGAAGTCGATTGGATGTGGGAGGCCGAGATGATATTCAAGGAGACAGACAACGCTCATCAGCCAGACCCAATCGCCAAGCCGCTCCCCGGACCGGAAGATTACCATGATAACATCATGCTACCTCCGGCGTGGAATGCCACGTGCATGCTGTCCGAGTTTGTAACGGACAAGAACCTTGAAGAGTTTTCAAGGCCGATCCGAGAAACCAAGCATTTTGCGTCTCTGCAACTTGACCCAGTGTTCTGGAGAGGCCCAGTTGAATCGAAAACAGCTAGGCAAGAATCCGAGCCGCGGGACAGCAAGCCCGTTTCCTTCAAGTCCACCCGTCTCCCAGGGTTTCCCTCTCTTCCACCGAAACCACCGACTCCGGAAAATCGTGAATACCGTTTGGTCAACAGCCGCAAGCGAACGTGGGAGGAGACGCCTAACAAGACCTCACGAACCAGAAGCAGCCAAGACGGTGACTGGGCGAGCCACCGTCAGAAACGACACAGAGGCGATTCGCACTCTGGCCACGATACTACATCACCTCATAGCCGGACGACCAGGGAAGACTCGCGACCAATTGACCGATACCGGTTTCAAAGGCTAGACCGCGACGAGTCTGATCCAACCGACGCACTACTTAAGTCCCTGGATGACTCCCATGACGCTGGTCCTTCCAGGCGACATGGCGGTGACGAGAAGTTTACTACCCGTCACGATTTCGATCATAATAGCTCTCAGGATGCGCGACGCCAGGGCTCGGCCAGTGGTTTTCACGAAGGACGGACACCGCCGCTTCTGGGAACACCGCCGCCAGAGGACAGTGCTCAACGAAGACAAGCCTCGCGGTCTCGTTCTCGCTCGCGTCACTCCCACCGGCCCGGCTCTGGCAGCAGCCACGCCGAATCACGTCCAGCATCTAGGCAGTCTGCAGCGTCGTTCGCATCGCATGGCACCGAGGACTCGGAGCTATCGGCCCTTGAAGCCGAACTTCTGGGTATTGCTCCTAAACCAAAAGGAGGTAAAGAGAGTAAGCATGGCGGCCACGGCTTGAAGTTCCGCAAGCGCGTCCCCAAGGTTGACTCAGCTTATGGGTAAGTTATGATGCAATCAAGCTGCAAGGCCCATCCAGCTAATACGTATCACAGACGCCGGTGGTAACTCATAACTACCCTTGGCTCATCCCATTCACACTCCATCGGCGTTGGTTATAGCAATGGTAGCATTTAGAATAAAGGCAATGACGTAGGTTGCCAGGAAGTTACTGCTTCAATTTCATATCGTTTCCCCCTGAGAACATGGAAAGTTTTGCTTTATAATATGGCAACATCGTCCGGTTGACACAAGGCGGCCCGGTATTGGGACGGTCTCGGTTGGTGGCCAAAGAGTTTGCCTCGGATCGGTAATGGCGTCCGTCATGTGGATAGACGCATCATTGGATTGGGGGGGACTATTATCTATCATGTTGCATTACGTCCCTTCGCATGCGAAGTTCGAAAGCAGAAGGGTCAATGCTCATGGCTAGTCGAAATTAAGTTATTGAACCAAGATTTGAAATAATTTCTATCAACTCATTCGCCATGTTTGTTGCCTCTTGTTTGTTCTGTCTGACACAAGCCCGGTGTCATGTTATGGTTTGGGCAAGCGAGAGGGATACAGCCTGAGCGTTCTGTTCGCACTCAACTTCAGACGAGGCTGGGCTTTTCTTGCGTCAACCACCAGCCACACACACGTGGTTGGCCATGTTCGGCCCCAATCGGCATGTTTCCAGACTACCCCAGAATTGCTCGACATTGACTTTTCAAATAAACACAGCGTTTGTCACAGTTCAATAACAGTCAAGTAGCGAGAATAGGCTTAGAGCAGATTTCAAACTCCGACCGGCGTTCATTGCCTATGGAAAGATTACGACTAAAAAAGAACATGTAGGAATGGTAAACAGTCGTTTCCAAAGCCTCAATACCCGAGTCTGGTGCCCGTCGAGCCTTGGAAGTCCCTGACTCCCTTTCGGCATCGACCGGAGCTTTCCAAACTCCCAGGCCTAACACACCAATGATCATTGAATTCGTCACGAACCAGTCGCTTATGCGCGGTTGTTGAACTCCATGCGCTTCTTGAGACGGTAGGCGATGGCGCGCTTGCGGCCGGCGGCGGTCTGGGTGAAAGCAGCGGAGCCACCGAAGGGACCAGCAGCAGCACCGTTGCGGACACGAACGACACAGACGTTGGTGGCCATGCCGACAGTGGCGTCACAGGTCATGCCGGCGGGCATCTGGACCTTGACGGGGAAGTCGGTGTTGGTGGCGAGCGAGAGGCCCTGGACGCCGAGTCCCGGGACATCGGTCGTGACCTTGGCCTTCTGCATGGCGGACTCCTTGGTACCACCGGAGGTGCCGTCGACGTCGGCGGTCAAGGGACCAGCACCGTCCTGGTTGATCTGGCGGAACGTCATGGTGATGGTGCCGTCATCGGCGCAGGTGGGCATGCCCTCGGAGGCGCCCACGCCGGCGCTCGCGGCAACGCGGGCCTCGGGAGGGCCGTTACCCTTCTTGCCCTGGGTCTTGCCACCTCCGAAGAGACCGGCAATGCCCTGGCGAACGTAGAGCTCAGCGCGCTTGATGTTGGGGATATCATCCTCGACACCGGTGGCGGCGGCCTTACCAGCGCTCTTGGGAGCTGCGTCACCACCCATGAAGTTGTTGATCATGACAGAGGCGTCGACCTTGCCGTTGCCCTGAGTGCGACCGAGAGGGCTGGCCTTGCCGGAGGCGATCTCGCGATCACGAATGATGGCGGTGTCGGCCTGGGAGCCGCAGCCGTTTGAAGAGCAGTCTCGGGGAGTGCCATCGGCGACTGTAAGGGGGTAAAGTTAGCAACTAATGGTTTGTTATTGGAGCCGGAGATATGGTTCGAGGCTTACTGGTAAGACCGGGCATGGTGACGCCGTTGGAACCCTCAATAGACAACAGTGTGCCATGGGCAGAGACGGAAGCGGCCAAGGCTGCGACGAGGAAGGACTGGGAACGCATCTTGAATGAGGGTTTTGGGGTGGTGGTGGTGGTGAAACTAGAGAGGATCGGAGAATGAGGTTTCTGATATTAAAAGAGATGTTGTTCGTAGAGAGCCACCGGGGCTGAAATGAGTAAGGAAAGTGAAAAAAAGGGTTCAAGTGAAAGGCTTGCTTTGTTGTGATGCTGTGTGATGAGGAGGAAAGGGTAGATTCGGTGGTGTGGATGGGAGAGTTATATACAAGAGCTTGACTGTTCCTGCTTGGCATTCCATATCAATAGTTGTTGAGTGGGGATGAATTTTTGACAAATTTCTTGGGCTGAGATGGGACGGGCTAGGAGGCTCGGAATCAGATTGTTCCAAGTTGAACCCGCAGCACCGAGGCAGTCTCCAAGTCTGCTGGAAACGAAGTTCCATGGTCGTCTGGTCTCGGCTGAACCTCGCTCGCCTCTGTCTCTCACTCACACACACACATGCAGGCAGACAATCCACTCATCCTCACCGGTCTGGTTTGCATCCCCGAAGAGACCTTGCACCCCTGCAACCCTTCGTCGGGGTCAATGTGTTGCCAGTGGCTAGGACCCTTCAGCCGTCAGCCAGAGTCAATCTCAAGCATAGCTCGGTATCACTTCGATGCGAGTGGTATGAGAGCCATGACGTGAGAGACGTGGAGTATTAGAAGGGGGTGTAGGTGTGGGTGGGCGTTTGTGGTTTCGGTTGTGGCGTAGCCCTGTACTTGGGAAGATAAGTTAGGATCGAAATTTGCCCACTGTGAGCTAAAAAATCTATGAGACGATGAGACAATGACCATGTCGGAGGGTGAGTTTGGCTGGTCGCTGAGCGGGTTCTCATCGAGAAACGAGGGAGGCTAGCTAGCTGGGAAACAGTTGCCAAGAAGCGGCTAGAGCAAATCGCATCCAAGGTGATGGAGTCTTCTTCCAGAAACAGAGACAGATAAGCGCCCGCATTCAGAGGCGCGCCCCAGAAAACGTCACTGTGCTTAACTCCTTGTTACCCACATGTATACAATGGGCAAGTTACAAGCTGGGTTGTGTGATGTAGTCTGCAAATTTAGTGTGCAAAGGGGTCACGACATAGAGACATAGAGGGCGGGAAGGGGGATGTGCTGCTGGGTTGCTACTTTGGGAAATCGGGGTTCAAGGCCGGCCATCTAAGCCACAGAGGCCAGCGGAGGGTCAAGAGAGAACACAAGGATGCAAGTCTAGGTTTCTCAGGTGCATGAAGCTTGGCAAACCTCTGTTCACAACTTTGTTTCAGTGGAGGTCTTGGCGAGAAACGGCCGTGCAGCGCCTGGGCGCTCGGGGGGAACGAGTCTGCAAGCAGAGCACACGCGGTGCGACGAACAGTGGTCAGTGATAGTAGTAACACATGGTAAGACACGGGGAGCAACTGAGGCACGCCCGTTTTGGGTGGAAGCCATGCTTGTTTGTGTGTGTGTGTTGCACCTGTCTTGTGGTGGTAGTCAGCTGGTGGGCTTGCTGGTTTAGGTGTACAGGGTGCAAGAAGACACCCTCAAAGAGTTCCGATTGGCCCGTCAGCCAGCCTTTCTTACGGTGGCCAAGAAGTTTACGGTTTCGGCGATCAGACGGGGATGCTCGCGGAGATCCTCGATGTGAAGAAAGGGAGAATCTTCCGTGATGCTCACAGGGGTTTCTCGCTGCACAACAACCGTTCTGGCCTGTAAGCCAAGACTTCAGGCCTGTTCTTTCCCCTGACTAGTGTAAAAAGAAAGTCTTGGTAGTGGGGAATTGTGCCCTGGACGTAGTTTAGAAGAGCCTCCGTCTCCGTCTCCAGGGCTTGGAAACGCTGGTACGGGTTTGGGAGTCGGGCAACACGAGCGGCGGTCCCGGCCTCGCCGGGTGTGTGTGTGTGTGGGTGGCCTTTGGTTATGGAGCGTGTCGTGTCGGCTGGCGTATGAGAGCCGCAGCACCAGTGGTTTTGCGCGTGTATCGCTGCCCGGAGATGCCATCTCTCTCCGTTTCGCTGATGTCCGTTTTTGGGCCTGGTTTCGGATATCGTCCTCGGGCCACTCGCGCGAGCTCTCAAATGGTGCCACACATCAACTAGACGAGGAGATCATTGAGTGTTTACCTCATATTCAGGCCAATCACCCACCATGTGCGTCCGCGGTGCGCGTCCTCAGTATGCACCGCCGGCGCTGTAGGGCGGCTCATCCAAGAGGTACTATTCGGTTTGGTGGTGCCATGATTCGTCTTGAGCTTAGGGATGGAGGGGGTGCTGTGTGCAAGCGAGTTAAAACCTTGTGACGACGAGCTTGCTGCGAAGTGACGAACAATGGCGGCTGGTAGGCTCAGACCGAACCCTTGCCGTCTAGTGTAAGACTGAGACTGGGAGACTGTGCAAAGTCGGTGCTTTTGCGAGCTGACAGCAGCGTGGCACAACTAGAGTTACGGGATGGCGCGCTGGCAGCAGGCCGATGGCAAACTGCCGAGTCACGTTGAGACAATTAGGCCGTGTAGAATAGCCTAGCGGCTTAGAAGAAGCGGCCGACGGCTGAACATGGTCAACGATGATATCTTTCATTCATCACACGCGGCGGTAGGGGGGAAGAAACCGGATCTCGGGTCCCTGTTCGAGGCATGAAAATGGTAACCAAAATTCACTAATGGTAAAGCCTGGACCAATCGGGCTCGTTCGTGAGCTCCAGGGCAGCGGATGCGCAACAACCTTGACTTTGCCTTAGTTTCCGTGCGGCTGGAAGCACCATGCCGTGCCAGATTAAGCATACCTGCGCACTACTTACTAGTTTAGATTCTACATAGTACACAGTACATACATAGTACCTAGGTATAGGTAGGTTGATGACCAGGCGTGGCACCAGCTTTTCTGTCTCTGCCCCCCTCTCCGATATGTATTCTTATTCTTTTCTTTCTTCTTTTGTCTCGAACGAGTACGCATCCGAGCTGGTAAACCAGCCACTGGTTGGCACTGGGCCAAGGGGGGGAGGGGAGGGGAGAAGGAGGAGTTTCTCCCTCATACATCCTTCTCAGGTATCTTCAATTTCAACCTATTTTGGCACCAACAATTCTGCTTTGATCCGAATCATTACGTACACTTACGTTCTCACACAAAAGTTTTGACTTTACCCATCTACACACCCTTGTCCGTGCTTGGGCTTGCTTGACGTAATCTAGGTACCCATCGCCACCACCAAAAGGTACATTGCTGCCAATTTATCCTCCCGCAACTCTATGTAACACGTCCACACGACTCTGTTACTCTGCTACTTTTCTATTACCTCAATTCTTTACCTCACAAAGTTCCTTGCACGGGCTATGTTATGCGCTTGCGGTTCTACTGTCGAGTCGGTCGCCTTATGGCCCATTCAAAATTAATCGGAATCCTTGCTAGCCCCTGCCAGTATTTCAATTCTCTGCCGTCATTGTTTTAATCTCTCGCCATAGCCCGTTGCCATGGTGAATGTACCTTTCTCAATGGAAACGTCGTTCTAGGTCACTTACCAGACAACCACCGAACAGTATGTTCCTCCCACCCCAAAGGAGTAGCTCTGCTTACCATTGCCGAGCTGACATGTGGCATACTCTCCCCTCGCCATGCCATTGGCAACAGCTGGACGACCTCGGACCTCGTTTCTGACAAATTCTGTGTAAGTGGACAGACGATGCTGGCCAAAGCAGATTCAGATATGGGATGACCTGCTCAGCTAGTCGGCCGTCGTGACGTCCAGCGCATTTACTAAGTCCGCGCTGCAATATGACGCGACCGCAGCTTCTTGTCATGGCCCAGATCATGAAGAGAAGCGGCACAAATAGAGTTGGACCGGTGTAAAAATTCCCATGACCGACGTTGGCATCGCCACCTACGGCGATCAAGATCGTCCATCGGATCCATTCATTCTCGTCCCTGTGCAGATCATAGTCCCTCGTTTCCTGCCGTCTGTTCAGAGGGGTCCCGGACACGGCCTCACTTGTCTCGTCCCTATGACGGTACAATTTCAGAATGCCGTACTATAGTAAACTTTTTGCCGCAAGGTCATGCTGCGCCCTGACACACTGGGTGCATTTTACGGTTGTTCCAAAGCACGGCCACCAGACTGACTCAGGCTGGACTACAGTAGTTTGCACCTTAAGAAGAGGATGCTGTACAAAGTCTAATCAAAGAATTACAATTCTTATAGTTCTGCTGAATTACATATACTACAGGTCCCTAGTCTTCACCACTTGTTTCCCCTTTAACCTTATTTGCCCCAAACGCTCTCTTGTCTGGCATTCGTCCTAACGTCTGATGCCAGCATCCTCGGTGGAAAGTTGTTGACAAATGTAACCTGTAAGCATGAAGAAAACGGGATGGCTGGACCCTCAACACCCTTATCTTTCCGTTGCATATCATTCATTCTGTTCCGTGCTATTCTGCCACTAGCCCGCTGTGTCGTGAGTAACTCGACGTCGGCCCATTGGCAACCTTATTTTCAACAAGGTGCTCACTCACAGCATCCTGCAAGCCCGTTCTGGCTTAAATGGCCGGTAAGCCCCCATTATCCGTTTATTAGCCGTTAGTTTGACCAGAAAAATGACTACGGTGCGCGAAATGAGCTTGAGCCCAAAGCCTGAGTGCTTCACAGGTTCTACGAGGAGTGGTTATCCGTGCCCGGATATCTGGTGGGCCCAGAATACAGGCATAAGACAGAGTTAGATTTGGAAGATGCTTTCGTATTTTGATTGAGCTACCTATAAGTCATCAGATTGACAATCCTCAATCGACTCGGACATGACAGATATGAAACCAGGATGGGATTCAACGTCTTATTTGTCAATTTTAACTTCAGGCAGAGCGGTTCAGACGACCTCATTCATGGAAGAGCTCGTGTCATGTTCGTCGCCCGGCCATATGTCGGCTAGCAGGGTTTACAGCAAAAGTCTTGTTTCGTTCACAGTGATGTCTGGGATTCCGATGGAACTTATATCAATAGCTCGGGTGCCGCTTCGATTTATAGTTTCCAGGCCCAATTATGGTTTAGCCCTTGTCTGATCAATAGCTCAGCTGTTTTCCCAGACCCAGCTACTGACTTTCTAGTGACGATTTGCCTGGCCAACATTTTCTCTGGTCTTTGGTTCTCGGTTCCTACCTAGACCCAGTCGTATCATCAAATTGCCACCCAGTCAATTGGTACGATGGATATAGCGATCGTTACCAGGCATTGAAGACTAGTATGTATAACAGCTATAGAGTATCGCCTCACGCCGTCTTGACGTGTTGATCCTGGAGCGTATGGACTATGTCAAATCGGATATTGACGCATTGTTCCCGTTTTCTATTTAACCGACGAACCGAACACAAGTAATACACCATACAAATACTGGCTTCAGAAAAACAATTGCTCTCGGCAATACCGGCTGCCAAGCCCATCGTTGGGTAAAGGGTGCCACCCTGTCGGAGACATCCCACAGTGGTTCGGACAAAACGTAGTACCGCCTGATATAATATAAGAGAGGAAGCAATCACCGCATCAGCTTCCAAAATAGTGCCAAGACGTTGCCGACTGTTTATCCAAAGCTTCTGGACGAGCATGCACAAAGATTTAAAACCAGTTCAGTGAAACAAGCTCTCTTGTCCACCCCCCTTTCTCATCCCCAAGTGTTTGTCCGGCTCCAACCGTCACCTCTATATGTGCCGGGAGACTGGCTGAAACGGGTGAATTCGAAACCGGACTGGTTAAGGGAGTTAAGATGCCATGTATCAGTCTCCAAGATGACAAGCGCCGGGAACAAATAACATTTTAGTACGATCTCCCATTGCAATGAGAGGGGAATGAGGGTCTCTCTGTAAACCATCTGAATGGAGCTTGAAACACGCGTGCTCTTATGCGATGGTCTTGGATTTGGAACCAGGTCGATCTGATGTAGTTTCGGGCCTGAACATCTTTGCCTGAGCATTTATTCGCGTGCAATGCCATGTTGGCTGTTGTCGAGCCATTTAGCTAACGCCAATGTTATTGTAATAAATATTTCCAGAGTGAGTTCTTCGAGAACAATAGCGCCTTCTCCATAGCTTATATGCGAAGGCACTGGAACAACTTGCCTTTGCTTACGCAGCTAAGGCCATGCAAAGTTGCAGGGACCGAGATTTGGGCTCTGATCGACATCTATTACCATTCACTTTCCAGACCTGTTAAGTCATCAATCTTTGACCTGGCTTTCAAACCATACAGATAAAGCCTTCTGAAGTAATTGGATTTCTTGAGCAAACTTACTTCTTTGAAATTTAAGGAACGCTGTTGGCTTCGGTAAACAATTGTATGTGTAAGGGAAACGTCTCTTGAAATACAACCTTATAAAAGTGTGCAGGACTGATGCTCGCCTCGAATGCATAGTCAGAGGGCCAACCTGACAACCTAGAAGAACTTCCGGTGGGTGAAATTCCAATGCTTAACGCAAGATGGATTAATTCTTTCAACGTATTTGATTTCATGATCGGGGCTCTAGCAGTATACACGCCTCGTTCTGACCAGTCCCGCGGTTTTCAATAAGGTGCATTGCAAAAAGCCAGTAATCCCTACGTCACAGAATGAGGGAGTCTCATTGACTTCCAGAAGCCATGTGTTGACGCTTGTGTCAGTATCAAATTCAACTGCAAATACTTCAAACGCGTGTTCACAGTTGTGAACTCACACTGCAAAGTATGTGCAGCAGAAATACCGCAGATCTGGTTGAAGACATGTGTTTTCCATTCTACAGGACAAAGTCATCCGATGTACCCCAAGATTATGTCATCAAATCCTCGTCGGTGAACGCATCATCCAGAAGAACCGTATTATTAGTCAAGGGCAACTGCAGGCTAGGATACAACCAGAGAGATTCGTATTCTTTTCCAACGAGAAGAATAAGCGACTAGTTGAGAGCGTAGTGGAACTTGAGGCGTTCCATAGTCAGGGTACATGCTCTGGCATGCCATGTCCTGTTGTCGACTGGCGGAATGGAATTGATGTGTTTTTAAATCAATGAGTTGGGCATTTGGCCAGAAGGAATGCGTTGATCTTCTTTGGAGACATTTTGCTGCTTTGTATCTCTTATGATGTCGTCCGAGTCTGGCTTATGGGACATGACCTCTGTGAAAAGGTAACAGGCCAGGTTCTAACCATCACAGAGCTGAACAATATACGAAGAGTCTTTTGGGAAGTCATCCGAATAGATATATGAACTTTGTATTTGGTACTTTGATGTTCGACAGAAGTCGAACACCTCCTTTGGTGGAAGCAATGCTTGCCTGGGTGGCTATAAAATAGGTAGGTCGTCATCGATTCCATAAGATTGGACGCTGAGCTTGATAGAATGCGAGAAGACATCCCAAGAAAATCAATGTCAGAGCCCAGGCTTCGTGACGCGGCGTTCGCCAGGTCAATAAAGCGAATTCCAATGTATTATTCCCGGACATATACATTCACATGTGTTGGTATCATAGCTTCGCGAGGGCGGCATCTACTGTGAAGTTGAAGTGGCCAAGAAGACTGCCAAGCAGCGGTGCGGGTACCTGATTGTCACACAATCCACAGGGCCTGTTTGCTGTGCTTGTTACCGTTATACATATTCAATTTCATCAGTGTAACTAGTTCAGAACATCCTATCGCTAGGGTCGGAAGATGAAAACCATCAAAAAATCTTTTAGAACATAGTTTGTACATTGCAATAGGCATTCGATGTCCGACAATGAAACAAAGACAAGCTCGAAACAGGCAGAGTTTGCCTCAGATATTATCCAACCAGGCGCATCCTGGGATTCCAATCCGTTATGAAATTAGTAAGAAGAATCCACGGGAGACCGACGCAAACTGAACAGGATGTTAGACGGAGAACTCCTTCCATACAGACACTACGGCATGATGGACAACTTTGATAAAAAAAATGCTCAGGGGCTTGGTGGGACAGACAGATTCGATAGCGGCGTAAGCAACGGCTTATGAGATGAGAGCCTTCAAACGTATTGAGCACTGCACATGTTTTATGTCGTTTGCATAAGTACATAGCTAGGGCATAATTAGGGCGGTGAATAATGATACGGAAGACCATGCTGTGTAGATACGCCAAATAAGGCCCTAATGAGGTAGCAGGTCGATACCTAGTGAGTTCAGGTGGGGCCGGGGCCCCAAATGCACTGATGGTGACCAGTACCTACACGGTAGACGGAAGCTGGGGGACCAGCGGAAGTGGCATCGGGGATCCATGTCGTTAGGCGTTGCGTTGTGTTGCGTTGCTGGGCGGCTAGGCTAGGCTTACCCTTCCACCGCTGTTTCCTCCCCACCAACACAACAAATGCTCTGGGATCTATTCAATGCGACGCGCGCCAGCGACGACGCACGCTACCCCCTCCTTTATCCTCCTTCTCGACGGAGAAAACTCAGAACGACAAGAATCACCTCTAATTCCTCGACGCCAATTTTCCACAGCAAGATGTCGTTATGGCGACTCTGCCACCCAATTCTCTGCTTGCCCGATCCCGGCAAACGCGCTCGGGGCCAATTGCCAAGTCGTCGGCCGCGCCCATCGCACCCTCGATAGCTTCGAACCCAGTCTCGACCACGCACCTGTCACTGTTCCTCACCAATCTCCGCCTTCTCGATTTACCCTCATACCCCGACTGGCCGGGCTTGGATGCCCAGACTTTCTCCGTCCAAAAGAAGCGCATCCACTGCGTAGAATGGACTCTGTATCAGCTCTTTGTCCTCTGGGACCCAGAAGAGGCGCGAAATGTACGTTCGAGACATAGCAAAGCCAAGGACGAATCCTGCTAACACAGCGCATCTGCAGAAGCTTCAACCCTTCTTCCCACCCCGGGATCATGTCCAGTCGCTGAACCTACGAGCCGCCCTTCTTCGAAGCCTCGATCAAGCAAAGAAGAATGGTGTTCTGGGTCGGGATGCCGTCATCCGCAAGACCATGCTGGATGAATGCAAGGGCGAGCGACTTGAAGAAGTTCTCGCCGTATTTTCGTCTGTCGTTCTAAAGAAGATCGTTGCCCAAGTCTCCGAGGCAGAAGGCGAATATCCCGCTGTTGCCCAGCAGTTGGCATTGGAAGACCGCGGGTACAACACTGAAAGGACGGAGCTTATACCCCTTGCTCTCGCTCATAGGGCTTCAATCGCCAACGCGATGCGGCGGAAGAACGATGCGAGAAAGCAATACAGCGGCCTGGCCGAACTGTTGAACTTGAAAGACGTAGCCATCACAAGAAGAAGAGAAGAGATCAAGGCCGCCAGTGAACTCTCCAAAGGTCGAGATGTCCCGGACGACGTGAAATTCGATACCTGGAGAATGGTGCGGAACAACTGGGCCGGGAACGAGCAGTGGATGGAGACTCTCCTCTATGGAGACTCCAATGCGCGAAAGGACGGCTTGTTGTCGGTATCGTTCGACAGAGTCTGGAGAAGTCTGCAGTCTGGTCGCTTATCCGAACTGGAAGACCACGGCAAAGGACTTCTGGAACAGCTAGACGACCGGGTCAGGACACAGAGGGAGAGGCTGGCACAGTGGCGGCATTTTCAGGCCAAGATGTTTGGCAACAGGCCTAACCTTACCACAAACCCCGCTCCACAGCCTAAGAGAATAAAGCGCGGCGTCAATCTCGCATTCGACCTTCACGAAAATCTGCATTTGGGGCAGATGAGCTGGAGAAAACAGTTGGCCAAGAAAAGCCCATCTCTTACAAGGGACTACGCAAGCCTCTTGGCCGACTGCGAGGCAGAGCTGGCTCAAGTAGGCTCGGCACCCCTGATCGATCTCTCGAAAGTATTGGGACCGCGAACTCGCCAACCCGAGAAACCGGACATCAATGCCTGCGCAAGAGAGAGTCTTGGAGAAGAAACCGTTTCAGAGCTCAGCGAGCTGGAGGATGACATACAGGGTCTAAACACTGGACTGCGGCGCCTTTCGCCCCACGATGATGCTTCTCAGCCTGGCAGCCCTCCCTGCCGCCCGGCGCTCACATTATCTCACGAAACTAGAAGACCGATTGGCATAAAGCCCTCTTCCCTTAGTCCACCACTCCTGCCCCCTGATTCACACACCGAGCTATCCATACCCCCACCGACCCCTCCTCTCCCAGAGGAGGAGGGGGTTACGGAGAAGCCGCCCAGTCGTCTTCCTAGCCCATCTCCGCCGGAGAGAGAAAGAAAAGGTTTCAGCGTCACATTCGAGGGAGAAGACAGCTCGCCAGAACCGCCCAAATCTCCCACCCAAGAACTGGCAGACAAGATTTTGAACGACATGGACAACGCATCGCCGTCGCCCATAAAGCGGCCTAAGCCTAGGCATACCTTGTCCCTTGCGGAACGGACGCGGCTCTCCATGGTACGGTCTTCGCGGGGCATCAGGTATGATCCAGACGATGAAGAGGAGGATGATGCTCTGAGCCTGCAGCCCTCCCTTGCCAGCATCAACCGCCAAATGAAGGATATCACCATCAATGTTACCGACGAAGACGATCTGGTGTCTCGCACGCGAAGGAGCATGGCGGGTTTCGAAGCCTCTCGCCAGAAGGCTCAACTAGACAGGCAAAGGTCTCTGAAAAAGTCAAGAGCTCAACCAAAAACAGTCCCTGTCGTCGAGGAAGAGACGCTTCAGCTGGACCCGGACGCATCCATCCTGGCCGAGGAGCTGATGACAGTTGAAGACATGGAGGCGGTTTTCAGAAGCCGGCCACGGATCAAGACAAGCCCAGCGCCCTCACCTTCCAGAAAATCACTCCAGGACAGTTTGTAGTACAATCTCCAACATCAGTAAAGGCAGGGAGGCGACTGCAAGCCCCATAATAGTAATGGTACATAACCCTCATCATTAGAAGATGTTTTGTGGTTGCTACATATTGTACACCGTCGCATGGGAACTTCCGCAGCATCGTTCAAAAACGCTAGGCAACAGAGATACCTGCGCAAACTCGTTTCCCATTTTACCAGCCCTGGTTCTTCAGTTCTTGCACCCTAAGCACCGTCGCCTTGAAAGATTCCTTGAACAGAACCCTCCACCTCTCGCTGTACAGCCTCTTGCGCTTCTTTCCCGGACGTTCATGAAACTTTTGCAGCCGAGCCAAAGTCTTTGTCTTGTTCTTTCTGCACTGGAACTCAAGCTGTTTCAAGGCCTTGTTCATGTCCATGTTGCTAGTGACATGTATGGTACGGCCAGTGACGGGACGCGTACGCAATGGCGGCTCTTGTTGGCCGTTCGGGTAATGCTTCTTCATGAAGTCATCTGTCTCCATGGCGATGATCTTGGAGATATCAAATGTGTCGGAGGTGGCATCGTACGTGAAGGGGCTGCTGGGCTTCTTGTTCTCGGAAGCAGGCGCAGCGCCGGGTGGGGGCGGAGGCGGCGGTTTTTGTGTGGAAGAGGCAGAGGTTGGCTTGGAAGAGTGTTCGGCAACCGCTGATCGCAGACCAGAGCGAGGAGGGGCGCAGAGAACAGAGGAGGTCGTGAATGTGCGCGGCTGTGCCCGCAGAGGCTGTCGAAGAGCCTGGGATACCTGTAGGGAGGGACTGCGGACGGTGCAGGAGGTGAGCAACCTCTTGCCCAGCAATCCAATTCCAGACGCCCTGGAGAAACAATGGTCAGATGAGGGCATTCAGTTGTACCAACGTGTCGACTTACATGGTGATGGAGCACACAACGAGTGTAGGCGTGCTGTTGCGCTGGCGATTGATGTCACCACGGCTAGAAATCCAAAAGAATTCCTGCAAAGGTCGGATCGCGACTGCAGGCCGGAAGCTTTCCTCGGAGAAGCGTGCTGCCGTGTTGCCGAGTTGCCCCCACAATAACAACCAATCAGAAGACCGTCGCGTTCCAAGGCTGCTTCGCGTTGGCCTCGCGCCGAATTTTGGAAAGAAATGGTCGTCCTGGGCTCTATAGAAACCAGCGCCAGAGACAGACCAAGAGCTTCAGAGCTCCTCGTCCCCCCCTCACGCTTTCGCTCCATTTGAATCCTTTCCCTTGCCTTACTTCCACCCCCTCCTCCACTGTTTCGCGAATTACCGGGCGGGGATCCTCCAATTCCCTGACTATATCGCTTCGATACCTACAAGAGCATCAATCGGATTGATCTCGAAACGCTCTTTCATTGGCCTCCAAACATCGGCCGGTAGCCTGACCATCGCCTTCAACCCACAACGTCGCTAGATAGCCCACACAACACAACATGGCGTATAATCCCTATGGAGGTGTGTGACTCTGGCTTCCATCTACGCAAACTCTTTTCTTTTCTTTCTCACTCACATATGCAGCAGGAAACCCGTATGGGCCCCCTCCGACCTATGGCGGCTTCCCGGGCTCAAACGCCGCTCCTGGCATGGCTCCCCCACCTGGTCTAGGTTCGTGATCCCGCCCACATCTATCCTACTCAAGATACGGTGCTGACGTTTATGTAGGCCCTCCGCCAGGCATGTCTTCCGCTCCGGGAATGGCACCACCTCCCGGTGTCCAGCAGTCCAACAACGCACATGCTAACCGACAAAGCGGCCTGCCGCCTAACTTCCAAGCTCCTGCAAACCTCCCCAACATCAACTTCAGTGCCCCCGTCATCCGACTCGGAACCATAGGCGCTAAGCCAGGTGGACCCGATGCGGGGAGGAAAGAAAATAATACCCCGACGGGTGGTAGGCCAGGCTTGGGCATGGACCGCGGATACGACCAGTCGCGGGCTGCCGCCAGAGAGCACATGCAGTCATTGGTGCCGCCTACGAACGAAGAAAAGCTGCGCACATTGTTCATCCATAAGATCCCCGAGGGGGTCAGAGGCGACGAGGGGATCGAGAGAATTCTCAATGCCGTAGGCAAGCTCCGGAGATGGGACACTGCAGCCTCGGTCCTCTCTGATGGCAAGGGTGCCAAGTTTGGTTTCGCTCAATACGAGGATGCCGACTCTTTCGCGACCGCTTCCGAACTACTTCCAAACCTCGAGGTTCCCCTCAAGCGACAGGGTCCGACGGAGGCTCCTCCAGCCGGCGACTCATTCGATGGCGTGGACATGGTCAAGCTTCAGGTTACGGTCGACCCGAATTCTCTCAAATACCTCGATTCGTACAAGGAGAGCAGAGGCGACGATGGCGCTGCCGAGTCAAGAATAAAGGCTGCCAAGGAAGCATTGAGAAACGTTGTGCGCGACCTTGCGTTCCCACAGTCTGCCGCGACTACTGACGGAGAAGGCGATGTGTCCATGGGTAATTCTGGAGACAACGTTGAGGTGGTCAATATCCCTCTGGCTCAAGACGATGAGCTCGCCGACATCCCTGCCGAGATGAGGGAGGTTGTTGCCGCTGAGATCGCGGCTTTCAGAGACCGCAGCAACAAACGAGACATGGAACGGTTGAAGCGTGAAGAGGAGATGGAGGAGATGGAGCGGAAGCGCAATGGCCCGTCTCGGCCCTCACGACACGATTCCCCGCCGCCGTCCAACTCCAACAACATTCCTGTCGGCCCCCGTGGCATGCACAATGCGCCATCCGGGCCCAGAGGGCAAAACGGCAACCGCACCACGTCTTTTGTAAATGGAGGCATCTCCAACGCTGATCTTTCAATCAACCGTGAAGATGAGGAGACAGACGCCGATGATGAAGAGCTCTACCAACGGGAGCTTTCGAAGCAAAAGTCCGAGGAGGACAAGATGTATCTCGAGGCGGAGCGAAAATGGGTCAACAGGGAGCGTTCTCGGGCGGCGGCCTTGGAACGTGAGAAAGAGCGTGAGCTTCAGGAAGAAGAAAGCCTAGAGAGACGGGTTCAGGAGCAGTTGGAGAGAGAGAGAGCCTGGGACGACGAACGAGAAGCATCGAGGAAGAGCCACTTGTACTACCGCGACCACCCGGCCTGGGTTAAGAAGCGACAAATCGAACGGGCCGACGAACAGGCCAGAGACGAAGCCGACCGAAGAGCCGAGGAAGACGAACGACGCCGAGAGGCTGCGGACATGGAGAGGGCGCGCGGCATGGCCGACTCCTTTCTGGACCAGCAGGCACAGGAAATGGAGCAACGGCAACAGGCGGCGACCTCCGCACCGGCACCGTTCAAGCTGTCACTTGGAGCTGCTGCTCAACGTGCTCAAGCGCAGCGTGTGGCACCTCAACGACGAACTGTCGCCGAGGTGGAGGGTCTCCTAGATGACGAGGAGCAGGACAGCACAACTAGGAGGCAGCTCATTCCCATCCAGTTTGAGCCTACGACTGCTGCAGACAAGATGACCGAGGAGGAGATCAGCAAGGCTGTCCGTGCCCTTGCGCAAGAGATCCCCTCCGAAAAGGATGGTCTGTGGAACTGGAGCGTGCAATGGGACTACCTGGACGAAACCATTATACGCGACAAGCTCCGGCCATTTGTGGAAAAGAAGATTGTTGAGTACCTCGGAGTACAAGAAGAAATGTTGGTCGAGGTGGTCGAAGAGCACCTTCGGAAGCACGGCAAGCCGTCGGAGCTGGTCGAAGAACTTGCTGCGGTTCGTACTTTGAGCACCCAGCACCATGGAACTACTACTGACTTATTTCATAGGCCCTGGACGATGAGGCGGAGGATATGGTTAAGAAGCTGTGGCGCATGGTCATCTTCTTTACTGAGAGTGAGAAGAGAGGGTATCCGGCGTAGTCTAGGCATCCGTTTTTGTATTATATCGACATTTCGGCAGCAGCATGCAAAAGAACCGGCTCTGCCCTTTGCTGGGGCGGTGGAAGACTTTCCCTATCGGACAACTGTTTTGATCGGCACCTATAGGGAAGAAAAGTGAGCGAGGCTTTCCACAGCCATTCCCCCGAGTTTGTGAAGACCAGGGAAACTCACTTTACTCATCAGAACACACCCGACGTGCTTCATCAACTGTGAGATTCGGCACAGCACTTTGCTTCTGCCCAGCTAAACCACCGTCGAGGGGGGACTTCCCAAGCTACGCATGTACGTGCCGTTCGCTGTTGGACTGTTGATTTATATCTAGGCTTCTCGTCACCTTTTTCATTTGCATCCTCCCCTGCGAAACTGATTTGCATCTCACTCCCCCACAAGGGGTCGAAGCCGCGTCCTAGGGACACCGCGGTGCCACACTTTAGTTGCCGAGTGGTCAGTATGCTATCCCGCGGCTCTATACCTTCCCATCTATCGACTTAACTCGCAGCTCAACACGTAAGGTGAAGGTAGCAGTGGCATCAATTGTTGAAGTTTCTAAAAGATGCAAGCTTTGGGCGTAAATTAGGCAGTAGTGCTTGTGCTGTGGACCGCCCACGATGCCGGGAATTATTCCATGGGTCCCAGTAAGATCAGCTACGCGTTGCAGACCACAGGGCTACATTCCGAAGTTCTCAAGATGGCCTGCGTGCGACAACCGAAAGCGCTATAGCTAACTATGTTAATTGCTCGCTCTACGGGTGGGTTATTTCGCTCAGTGATTTTGTCAGAGCCAGTCTTATCAAAACCATGCCAATAACGACTCAACAAGGACCTTGCTGAATTGAGGCACCAGGCTGAGGCTGGCTTAACGAGAGACCATCAGACGGGATATGATTCAGAGGTGGTGTGCGCCGAGCCTCTAGCTCATGGGCGAGAATGTATCGAGGACAGCGGGAACGGCACAGCTTTGCCGGACGTAAATCAAGAATCCTAGGTGACGGCAAGCCATGCGCGTTGTGACGAACAAGGCTCCGAGTGATACGGGCGATCCGGGCGTAGGAAGTGGATCACTCGAGGGCCTCATCAACGGCACTCTATGGGCTCGTATCACATATAAGCACCTTTTGGGCGGGTCTGCAGCCTGTGCTGCCACTGGTGTTGGCTACAAGTTGTGATCAGCGTGGCGTTCATCTGAAGCATGGTGTGGCCGACCAATATGCTTGCAGCATTTTAATAGATGCGCTTTAGACTTTATTCCAGGTTCCGACTTCCGTGTTTGACGAGAATATTGCTGCGAGGACGACTGCAGCTGTTCTTAATCTTAACAGCCGCGACCACTACTCTTCGCCGCCTTACAACCGGCAGCTTTCTTCTGAGAGTCGACGAGCCGCTCTCCCTTCTTCATTACGCCTTAACCTCCACACCTCAACTCCTTTGCGACAGTCGAAATGCTTAATGCAAGCAATCTTCTGCGCCAGGATGACCGCCGAGGGGACCCGTTGAGCCTCGTTTCGTGACTAAGTCGGCATTGAATCGTTCATGCCATTCTCCCCTGAGCAACTCTTTATTGGAATGATCCCACTTCTGCATGCATGCACTGTGGTCACCTTGCAATGTTTCCTCCCGAGAGCCGGGACTCCATTATAAGAGGAACATCAATGCTACTCTACCACGGTTGCTGCCGATGACGCCCGCTGGTAAGATAAAATAAAAATAACCGAGTTACTTGACCTGTAAGCCTCGATCCAATCAACTACGGTCTGGTTGGGAAGCTGGGCCCGCCTGCCGTTCCGTATTTCCGCCCATTGCGCGCGACGTCAGCCCCAAGAAACTCCAAGACCCCTAAATAGGTTGGCTGACCCCACTTGTCTGATTGTTAGCCAGCGGGATACGAGGTTATTTGCGCCAAGAAACCCTGCTCCTTCACACTAGTCCAGCCGCCTCGTCCATGATGGATGGGAACCGAATTTTCCATGGTCAGCTTGCTGGTTTTGGGTCTGTCCAATGTACCGCGCAAACGGCCTTACCCTCCCTCTTTGCTGCACTGGCACTTATTAGAGAAACATCTTATGCCCGCTATCCTCAACAAGCCAAGGAGGCGTCCCGTGATCAACCGTCTTTCTTCCTGGCCTCTTGAAATGTCTTTCTCTCAACCATGCCGTGCTTTTGTCTGGTACCTTCGCGCCGAGAAAGCAAGTTGCTGACAAGGCGCCCATACCGTGTATTAGTGTCTTGGAGCAGCCCAGGCCACAGCCGCCTGTCGGCGGAATATTCGCTGTTCCACCAAGCTTGAATATGTTCCCCTCACCAAAACGTGCAGTTGCGTTGGCGTGCGCCGTCTTCGTCTTTGTGCTTCTGGCCAGCTACCAGTCAAGCAAGCAAAACTATGCGGCGAATCCTCTCCGGGTTGCAGAGTCCTTGAGGGATGGAGCGATTGGGGTGTCCTCTTCGGCGGCATCGTCTCTCAATACACAAATACCGTTCTGGACCACGGAGCAGCGCGAGCCCCGGTTTGCCTACGTGCAGTATGCGACGGACGTGGACTATTTGTGCAATGCGGTAAGCTGTAGCCCCCCTCCCTCCTTCCCCTCATACACGCGCGCAGGCAACGACTACGGGTGTTCGCTCTTGACAAACAACATGGCTAACGTGCCGACATTAGGTTATTAACTTCCATCGTCTGTCATCGTTTGGTTCCAGGCACGATCAAGTCCTGATTTTCCCAGACAAGTGGACGGAAGGAAACACGAGAGAAGCCGAAGCTATCAAGAAGATCAAACACGAACTTCCTCATCTCATTTTTCGACCCTTCGTCGTTCTTGCTACCCACAAAGGCAGTGCGACATGGGCCAAGAGCCTCACCAAGCTCCACGCCTTTGACTTGACCGACTACACGCGCGTTTTGGCCTTCGACTCTGACTCTCAAGTTCTCAATAGCATGGATCATTACTTTCTTGCCCCGATGGCCGCCGTTGCCGTACCACGCGCCTATTGGCTGAACGAGAAAGACACGCCTGTCGCCGAGCAGGTCCTCAGCTCCCACGTCATGCTCATAGAGCCAAGTAGTAAACGGTACAAAAAGATTGTCAAGGAAGCGATGAGATCAGGCGACATTGACATGGAGGTTATCAACCACATGTTCAAGGACTCAGCCATGATCCTACCTCATCGACGACTTGCACTTCTGACAGGGGAATTCCGCCGCAAAGGCCACAAGAAATACCTTACGCCGGATGATGACGAGGATTGGAACGCCATGGAGGAGGTCTTGAGATCCTACCTGGTTCACTTCAGCGACTGGCCGCTGCCGAAGCCGTGGAAGCCGCACACAGACGACCAGTGGCAGGCCGCCCTGCCCGACTGCCCGGAGGAGGAAGAGGACAAGCCTGGCCGCCCGAGGTGTGCTGACCGGACAGTTTGGTCAAGCATCTACAGTGACTTTAAAGATGATAGGAAGAAGTACTGCAGGGCATGGTTATAGCGTCAATGCAACGGGCAATAAAAGAAAAGCATGAATCAAATCGGCACGTTTTACGTCAAATACTTTCCGAGTGATGGTCTCTGGGACCCGCCAGTTCCGACCCCAGATATAGGATCCTACAAATTACTTGATGTGTTTTGATGTTCCTACTCAAATGCACGGCATGGCCCTCCCAGGCTTGCCCCGCATACAGAGGTGATAAGTCGGAGGATCAATAAGTTAATTTATTAAACTTTCTGCAATCTTTATAGGCGGTAATCAGTCAGAGCCGTTTGGAACTATCTGTTTGCGGCAGTACTATAAAAACGTAAGCGGTTTTCTAGAGCTTCCTGACTTATACGCTAATAAACAGAAAGGACTACGGTTTTCTGTTTAGCTTCTAAAGAGTGTGTATTACAAGATTAGAAAAGAGATCAACTCTACTGTTATTTTAATGAGATTATAGTATAAGGAGTGGCGTTATGTAATTACTACATTATTGCCTGCTAGTAGAAAACCTACCCTACTACTTAGTAGGCCTATTTCTCCCCTAATTACTTACTTTACTTGCGACTATTCATAATAATAATACTATCTTACTGACTGTGTATAACGAAGAAACAGGATATCCCCTCTGATTACTTATGATATTAATACCTACTTTTAGGAATAAGACTGCTGACCTAAAGTTGCGCCCTAGAAAGAACAATGCAAAGTCTCTGTAACAGGAGATTCAGCACTGGAAGAAAATGCATCTGGGCTTAAGGTCGTCGTTAAATGGGCCCATGTGAGCAGTATAAGTTTCTAAAGTATTCTGTGTGATTACCCAAACTGTGACGCTACTTCATGGGGTTAGGAAGTCATTAAGCAATGCTCACGAGATACAAACCTATTCCGGGCCCGTTTCCGATGAACGCAACGATAACCACATAGTCGTGTCATTCCAAGAGACAAGATTTTGGACAATACATACGTGATTCAATATTGAGATTCTCAAGTTATACAGAAGACTACGGCAAACAGATACAGAAGGTCATCCTGCTTTCTACGTCCGATCTCCCCAAGTCCCCTTGTTGTCGTAGCTTTCCGTCTGATACGACTTTTAGCGAGTGGAATACCAGTAGTACCTAGCGAAACGCAGACTAATTACTGCATGATTAGGGGGGGGGGGGGGGGGGGGGGGGGGTTACATTGCAGACTCTGTCACTGCACGAAACAGACTTTCCATTTGATAAAATCGGTTTCATAATGATCTCAACCGCGACTCAGAGGTAGTTATGCACGTAGGCAGGAAAGGTTAGCCAGTCGCCAAGAGATGCTGACCCTGACGGCATGATGGGGAAACTTAACAATAATATACCATGGCTCAGCATTTTAGCCACGATCAAGTCAATGGTTGCGAGATAACGAGGTACTTTAACCTTCTCATGTAATATACAGTATACTATAAGCTAAGGTGGACACAAAACCGTGTGGGCTCCAGAAAACCACTTTGCTCCCACACCTGTATGAAGTAGTCAGTATGCCTGCTTTACGAATCGACAAGATTTGAATAACTTTTGAGACATATAGTGGTAAAATTGAACAACTCTGATGGATGAGCGGTGTCATGTTTCAATTTCGCAATTGAACGGGATCAATTCCCACCTACAGCCGATGTCTTCCTTGGCCCTGCGCGTGACACTAGTGTACACCGCTTCATCCGAACTGCAACGTAGCCACACAACGGGATACCTCTTTCGCCTCAAATCCAAGCAATCCGTCGGCTGCCAGAACCAGCTACAAACCAGAAACGGTATCTTTTCAGCGCCGAGAACTTCTTTGTGCCAAGTACCTAATGGGATCTAAAATGAATGGGGCGAAATTTGGTTTCGCCTTAGCTGAGGTGCAACAGAATGTCGGATGAGTGGCTGATCAATCACGGCAACATGAGAGAACATGACAAAGCCATGTTGAAATGAAACATCATCAGTCCGATGTTTGGCTAGCCAACCCACGCCGGTCCCGTTCGAGCAGGGAAGGCGTGTCTAGAATGCATATCCTTTTGTGTATTCAAACGAGTCGAACGGGCAAAGGAGACGACGGAGGCGAAGTCGGATCTGGCCAGTGTTCCTCCAGAAGCTCGCGACGCGAAGTTCACCGATGGCACTGACGTTCTCGGTACCGCACCGGTGGTAGAATAAAGAGCAGAGTTCCAGAAACACAAATCAGCTGCGTCACAAGCTCAAATTATGGTTAATTCCAAAGTCCGACCCGAAAGTCCAGCCAAGCCGAGTTGCCGAAGCACAAGCCGATCTGGCAGCGAACTACCTGGTTCTTCGGGTCCTGTGCATCAAGCCTCCTCATTTGCGGCCAGAGATTCGGCAAAGCAGGAATTCGCCGAAAAATAAAAAGAATATCAATCACTGCCTTTGAGCATCTGGTCTCGCCTAGGACGCGCTTTTGTATCGGACTTGCCGCTTAGGCGGCCGGCAAATCGACCGGTCCTGGCCGTGTTCCCGGCCGTGTGGGGGCCCGAGGGGGATCCGAGATCGCATCGCGGGATGGCGCAATATGTCGCAATCACAGGGTCCCCGAACCTGGATCCCCTTATCGGGAAGGTTTTGCATCTCGTCCAAGGGTATGATACTTAACTTCGATTGACTCGACGGCCGGTGGCGTTGAAATATTGGAGATGATGTCACGCTTGATTGGCCGATGCCGACATGTCCCCCCCCCCCTCTATTCACGGGAAACTTGCACGGCTACCTACCCCCCAGATCCTGGGAGGGCAACCTCAACTGCACCAAAGTCTAAAAACTAATGACATCTTCATTCTTCGATCCAGCGGCTGGCAGCTCTGCTACACTCTCCTTCGGACTGAATCGACATGGCGCGCCAGAAATCCTTTCCTGATGATCAAGACACAGCGCGACTGGTCCATGAGAGGTCCCCGTTGCTGCCGAATATTCGACGTGAGTTGAGTTCGTCAGGTGAGAGCTCCTTGACGTCGTCATCCAGCGGACACTCGGATGACTATTTTGTCCCATGGCATCTTACACCTGCAGCAGTTGTCGATGGTGCATACGTCGACGTCGAACAAGTCGCGCCTGCCGCCGCCGCCACCGACGATGTCAAACGGACAGGTCAAAGGGTACCGACGGCCGCCGTCATCAAGATTGTGGCGATCCTGTTGGTCGGAACCTTTACCGCCAACGCCGATGCTTCTTTGGTGATGGCTACGCATCCCACAATTGCCTCAGAATTTGATGAACTGGAGAACTCGAGTTGGCTCTTTGTCTCTTTTGCGTTGGCGGGAGCGGCAACACAGACGCTGGTAAGCTTCTGGTCAAAGGTCAAGTAGTCTCGTAAGCTAACAACGAACAGTATGGCAAGCTTAGCGACGTCTATGGGCGCCGTTCCCTGCTCATGGTGGCTTACACACTGTTTGCTATAGGATGGTAAGTTCATCGTTGAAGCTTTCCGAGGCCTAGCTCACAATTCCGCAGCGCGTTGGTCGGTGTAGGCCGCACAATGTGGCAAGTAGTTGTAGGTCGAGTGATATCGGGATCAGGCGGCTCAGCTTTAAACGTACTTGGTTTGCTTCTGATAACAGGTTTGTGCAATTCGAATGCCCTGCCCCAAAAGCTCATATTAACACTGGCAGATCTCGTCCCACTACGCGATGTAGCTGCTTGGCAGGCTGGTGTGAATCTAGCTGCGACGATTGGTAGAAGTCTCGGCGGCCCTGTGGGTGGCTGGCTCGCCGACACCATCGGATGGCGCTGGTCATTTCTTGGCCAGTCCCCCATCTTTTTAGTTGCGGTCCTGTTGTGCTGGCTCTTCTTGCCCAAAGAAAAGCACGTTACGAAAGATGAAGCGGCCTCGGAGGTAGGCCCAAAGCCAGGAGAAACGAGAAAGAACTCCCTGGCAAGAATTGACTTCTTGGGTGCGACGCTCCTGTCATTCTTCGTCCTGGCCTTTCTCCTGCCGATCGAGATTGGGGGCACCAAGATCCCATGGTCACATCCTCTCATATTTGTCTTGTTCGGCGCGGCCGTCGTGCTCGGCGGGCTGTTTGTCGTCACCGAGGAGCGGTGGGCCAAGGAACCCATCTTCCCGCTGGAGTTGTTGAGGCATCGCGACATTGTTCTTACTTACATCATCTGCGGAGCCCAGATCGCTGCTCAGCTAGGTCTCATGTTCTCGGTGCCGCTGTATTTCCAGGTCACGCAAAGAGTTTCGAACACCATTGCTGGCATGCATCTGTTCCCAGCCGTCGCCGGCAACGCGATTGGCGGGGTGCTCGCGGGATACCTCATCAGGAAGTAGGCTGAAACCAGGCCAAAGCATACGGATGGCCGCTGACTCGATTTAGGACCGGGCGATATAAGTATCTTCTCATTATTGCTACGATTGCGTCGTTGATTTCCTATATCCTTCTGCTCCTTCGATGGCATGGAAACACCAATGTATGGGAGTCGCTGTACATTGTGCCTGGTGGTTTCGGGGCCGGCCTCGTGCAGTCGGCGGGGTTTATCAGCATCCAAGCTGCGGTGAACCCGAAGCACAAGGCGGCTGTGACGTCGGGCATGTTCTTGACGTTCCAGATTGGCATGATCCTCGGCCTCGCGTCCGCGAGTGCGGTGATGATGGAGACGATGAAGTGGAGGCTGGATACACTGCTGAAGGCCATGGATCTAGAAGCGGTGGCTAGGAAGAAGGTGAGACGGGCATACTTAGTACCCCAGTATGTCATTCTTTTCTGACGTGAAGCGCTACAGATAATCGAGAAAGCGACATCGAGCGTCGACTACATCGAGCACACTGACAGTGGTATTTCGAAAGCAATTGTCCAGTCCTACGTCGAGGGTCTGGGGTATAGTCACGGCGTCTCGCTCATCTCATCGATTTTTGGGCTTGTTGCGGCCGTCTTTCTGAGAGAACATAAGCTGTGATGAGGGAGCAGGGAGAGACTGCTGTAGCAAGATTCCGGCATTGACTGGGTGCATGAAGCACCAACTCAACCTTTTGAACAGAATGAAAGATGGGATAGAAGATTGGCAGAATTCGCAGGACGTTCTGAGTCTAAGAGACGAATGGTTACTTGACAGGAGGGCAAAGCGTGGCATGGCGTCGCGGGACACTACAGTGCACATGTATATCGGTACTGTACATATCCACCTATGAAGACCCAGTACAGTTATCAGCATGCAGGAATATCGCACCGTGCGCATTGCCCCTCCCCTCATTGTGTTTTGGTGAGAAGTCAATAGTCACCCGCGAACCTTACCTGGCGCACACTGATTAGTTGGCACCTAACCATACGTGCCTCAGCGAAGTTGACAATTGATTAATTGCCAAACTACGAGTTTGCCTGCACTTTGGGAAAGCTATACTTGGACACTTCCAAGCGATCTTGCCCTGCTTACTTCATGCCGCTGGCGGTGGGTGTGAAGTACTGCTTGGTTCTGTTGGCATCTCAAGTCTCTTCTGCAATTGCAGGCGGACTTGACATTTTTGGACAACCTCCATTTTCCACCACGACTTGATACTTGGAATACACCATCGATTTGAACAGTATTCCAGAGCAAGTCTAACCACTCATTCCCGAATGTTCTCAGACATCTTCCGAGAATACAACAACATGGCCTTTGGCTCTCCGGAGAGCGAAAGCTCTCAGGTGGAAGAAAGCAACGCACCAGAAGAATATCTCCAGTATCTCTACAACAACAACAGGCGACGGTACAAACAGACGCACCCCTGCCGCAACTGCCTCGACCTCTTCCACAGGACGGATGATTGCCAGCAGCCCTGTGGCCACTGCGGCCAGGACTGGCACACGGTCACCGCATGCACGGGCTCCAAGCGCAACCGCTGCCGCTGCCGCCCGTTCCCGCAGAGGCACCTCGCCAAGCGGTGCCCCGTCATGTGTAACCCGGGCGAGTGTCCCGCCCCGCACTCCGGGCCCCTCATCACCGCTATGATGTGCAAGTCCCGCTGCTGCATGTGCGGCATCCCCGGCCACGCCGGCCGCGACTGCCACCTCAAGACGTGCCGCTGCGGCCACCAGCACCTGACCATCGGCCACATGCCCATGGACCGCCAGTGTGCCGTCTTCGACTGTCCGCGCTTCTTCTGCACAAGGCACTGCCAGGCCTGCCGCGCCGAGATGGACAAGGCCAAGGGCGACGAGGACGTCTGCCCGCGGTGCCACGCGAAGCGCCAGCGCGTCTTCCCGCCTTTGAAGCCGCCGGTATACTCCAACGGCGAGCTGAACTACGAGTACCTGGAGGCGGCCATGGCGTGGGGCAACAGCATACATGGCGAGGCCATTTTCGGCAAAAACGTTGAATTTAATCCTTAGTCAACTAAATTCATCCCCACTCATTTCTGCGGCCAGTGACATCGCCAGTCAAACCCGGGTTGCGAGGAGCTTCAAGCAATGAGAGGCATGATGCTTGCTTGGCCAGGCTTCAACAAAATGGTCGAGGGAACGGTGACGGTGGGGTGTTTGGTTACTACACATCGGTTCGAGACACGAAGAAGGATGAGCAGAAGATCAGGGCTAGGCCCACTGTAACGGTATGAATCATTTGTTGGATTCAGGTATTGAACTGCCCGTAACAGTCGTACCCATGGCTTGAGCTACCCTTCAAGTGGCCTTGTCCACTTTTTGCAGACTCCGAAATCATGCCAATCCAAACTCCCTGGCCCCACGGTCACACGCATAGGATATGGCGGATTGTATCGCGCGCGAACAATTCTTCCGTAAAACTCCTCGCCATTAGCAGCGCAACCCAGATTATATGTAGCAAAACGCCGCAAGAGGCAAATCAACATCAAGAACAAAGTCACAATCAATCATCCTCCCATCCGCCAACGTCGCCATCCACCTCGACTCTCGTACCCAGAGCCTCCCTGCCCTGGCGAATCATCTCCTTCAGTCTCTGGTTGAAATCATTGATACGTGCGTCCGTGTCCTGCTCGTCCCTGACCCTCCGCGCGGCCAGTCTCTTCGCCTCCGCGTCCAGCCGCGGACTTTCTCGGATGGAATTAACACCAAACTCCTTTATTTTGCCGCGGGGTGACGCAGCCGAGGCACCGCTGTCGGAGCGACGGTGAGACCGCACCGGAGGGGTGAAGGCCGACGACTGTACTGCCGGCGAAGGGATGCCGCTTTGCCGCCTGGCTGACGTGCTTGTTTTCGCAAACGGGTTCGGGCTCGAGCCGGCCGACTGGGTAGGAAGAGGGATCCGACTCGGCGACGGGCCCGTCAGGGATCTAGGAGGCTCCGGCGATCGGACACTGGCAAAACTCGCAGGCTCGCGGTACGACAGCGGGGCGGCTTCTGCCAGGAGATCGTCGCGGTTCGCCGACTGTCGGCGATTATGTATCGGGATTGAGCTAAGACGGGGCTTCGGAACACTAATCCTGCGGCCGGTCACCATGGATGGGCGCGTGTTCCGAGATACCGACCGCATTGACGCTCTCGATACCGGCCTCGTGCCAGCTCCCGACTCGTCCACCACAACCCAGTTGCGCAGTTCGTCCTGATTACCCGCACTCGTCTGCCTCCGTTTCACAGCCGGCCGCGAGGGCGCGGACTCTGGAGCGAGACCGAAAGGGCAGGGGGCCTCGCGGCTGTAGAATGTATAGTCTGATCGGGGAAACCCGCCCGGCAAGGTACTGTCAGTATCGGGAGTAGGGATATTCATGCGCGGGGGGGTCGCTTGTCCCCAATCGTTCGTCTTCTCGTTTGACTTTTTAGATGGCTCTGCTTCAGGTTCGGGCCTGGGAACGGTTTCTGTTGCTTGAGCAGGTGTAGGGTCGAGAATAGTTTGGCCGTCAATGGTGTAGGCTTTGCCGCCTCCGGCAGTGAAGCCTCTGAAGGCTCCGGCCTTGCAAAATTCCCATACCTTGCCGACAACACCTCCGATGGTGCTGAAGGCAAAGCGACTCCAGCCACCCGAGACTGGTTGACTGGGTGGGACTAGCATAGTGGGCTGACCGGGCACATGTGATTCTATTTCTTCATGAGGTCGCTTCGAACCTAGAGCCCTTCGGTAGTCGGTGTCAGAGTACATGCTCTCATCCAGCGTGCCGTTGTCGAAAGGCGTGTTGGAAGCGGCACCCGGGGTCTCGAGCTGGCCGGCTAGGGTGTACCGGGCTTCTCGGATGGGCAGAGGAGTTTCGTGGACGGGTAGTTCGCTGGAGCTGTCGAGGTTCATGGTCCCATCGGCCCATTCATGCAGCGGTGTGGCCTCGCGCGAGGCATCGGTTCGGCGTTTCCGCTTGGCCTGGGCGAGAGGTGTTGTTGCTTCTGAGTGATAGCTGTTGGCTCTCGCAAAGCAATAGGAAGAGCCCGTGGAGGGAGAGGTTGGGGGCCGGAAGACTCCGGGGTGGACTCCGCCGGGCTGAGCGTCAAAATAGGCGCCTGGCATCCGATATTGCGATTTGAAGGCCATGCTGCAGATGTCTTGCAGGGCGTCGAGTGCCAAGGCGTTAGGGGAGGTACGTCGGATGACTCGGGAGTGAGGTGTAGAGAGAGGGTCAAGATGTCGCGGGTTCAGCGGCGGAAGGGATCATCGGAGTCGGGAGCAGGCGCGGGCGGTGGTTCACAATGTCGCAGAGCTCTAGAGGAAGCTCATGATTGATCCACAGGCAAGTGCCCAAGGGGGGATTGCGTCGTGTCTCAGATACGTTGGCAACGAAATGATGGTGACGGGTTAGCTTGTTGAACCGTCGCGCGACTGGCTGCGCGATGAAGCGTCTACAGAATGGCGCTGGCAGCCTGACAAGGCAATTGATGACACGCGGAGGTGGCGCAGAAGGATTGCCGGGTTGGGAAGCGGCGCGTGATCACAGAAGAGTGTATGTGTGTTGTGCCTGTTCGGAGGCAGCTAGTTGGAGAAGTGCGCCGCGGTCAGACAGATTTTTGTTTGTAGAGAGGCTGGTGAGGAATACACTGGGTGGGTGGGTCCCTCTCCCTTGGTCGGTGGAGGCGGTTGCAGGGAGTAGCTGTCGGCAGGCAACAAGCTCCGTTGGCGTTGGCGTTGAGATTTGTTGGCGGGCAGTGGTGCTCAAGTTATCCGTGGTGCGAGAGCTCCGAGTGCCGGCAAGAGCCGCTGACGGGGGATGTGCGCTGGCAGAGAAGGTCTGTGTAGACAGGCCGAGACCTTGAAGGGGTATCCGTAAGTCGGGATGGACCCGGACTAGCAATAAGGACGGACACTAGATAAGTGCGAGAGGGAAGTTGGCGCCTTGGGTGACGTCGAGTCTGCTTTGCAACAACAACGCAAGGGACAATAGGATGTTAAAGATGATGACGATGACGACGTGTAAAGAGAGAGAGAGAGAGAGATACGGACGGAAAGTGACGCGAGAGGAGGTCACAGGTGGTAGAGTGGGGAGGAAGAGAAGAAGCTGAAAAAGAAACACTAGAAAAAGGGGCAAGGCCAGTAAACGGTCTCCATGTATGTTCTCTCCTGGGATTATCGGCAGTTCGGGGAGGCCAGAGCAAAATCAAACCCGAAAGTATGTAATAATGGCGGACGGACTTGAAAGCTTCGGAGGAGTTGGGTTGGAATGGAAGGATGTTATGGTATCCGTACCTTCCTAGGTAGTAGTGTGGCGTCGTGTCAGTCGTGTTAATATCAGTGTCAATGCCAGTTCTCCCGGGCCCCTTTTTTGCACTTCTTATCAATGCCGCCTGGCAGTGTCGGTATCAATACTCACCATCTACCATCACGGGTTTTGCAACGCTTTTTGGCCTCCAGGCAACATGTATATATACACATAATTCAAACAAGAACAGACAAAAAGGACCGCCTCAGCCACGAGACAGCTTCTCGTTCGGTGGCTCCAGCTCCAAGAGAGGAAACGCGTTGTTGGTTGCCCGGGTACTTGGCCCCCCCGAGGGACCCAAGCGTGACATCCGTTAGCGCGATTATGCCAATGTAGGGGGCACCACCACCACAACCGGCGCCGCTGCCGCGTCTTGGTGACAATAGCAGCCAACCTACCGTGTACCTAGGTAGGCTTTAATGACACCTTGACACTCGTCTCGAATGAGTTGAATTGAGATTCTATGAAGCCATTCTAGCCATGACAATGCAATTGGTATGCAGTCACTCCTTCTTTTGCCTGGCTTAGAACTCTGAACCCATTCACCCTCGGAACGTTACTGCTGTTCACATCAACGCCAAAAAATAAAAAATAAAAATAAAAATGATGAAGAAAAGGATCGTGCGTGCAGTGCCGCTTCGTCACTCTCTCTGTCCGTCATTATGCCCACCTGTCCTTCGTTCCAACTTCTCTCTATCCCTCCCCCCACCTGTCGTATCAGCTGCGCTCGTAGTAGCTGTCCTGTTGCTCTTTCCTGTCTTCCTTGACACCGCCCTCAACGCCCGCCTCGCCGTGAACGTGCTTCTGAGCACCCCAGAACTGCTCCCGTTCTTTGAGTAGCGCTTCGGCCCACTCCTTGGTCTCGGGCAGCGAGAACTTTGTGGCGACGTAAGCGAACTCTCCCAGGTCGAGCTTGCCCTGGCCGCGCTTCTCGTACTCCATCATCTGGAGAAGCAGCTCCATCTTGTCCAGGTCGTGCACAAAGTGGCTGTTGATCGTCTTCGAGTCCTCGTACTCCTGCCAGATCTCCCGGATCTCAGCACCGGCCAGGCCCCCATACACGCCGCCGAGCAGCGTCTTGGTGATGTAGTCCATTGTGTCCGCCTCGCGGCGGTTCTTCTCCGTCTTGGGCACGCCGTCGACGGGCGTGATGTCACCGACGAGGGACTCGGCCATGTCGTGTATCAAACACATTTTCATGCAACGAGCGAGGTCGAGCCGAGGCGCAAGGGCCGGGGGCGCAAGCATTGACAAAAGGGACATGCGGTACATGTGGTCGGCAATGGATTCTCCTCTATCAACGCCGATGCATCAGTAAGCCATGGTCATTGCAACTGGGAACAACTCTGAGGAGGGCAAAGAATGGCATACCTTTCGATGCCGAAGCGTCGCCAACCCTCGCGCTTCGTCGTCTTGAGGCGCTCAATCATGTGGAAGTACGGGAGCGGTGAGCTGGAGCCCGCCGAGGTCGCAGTCCCTGGGGAGGCATCCAGAGCTTTCTCGACTGTCCACTCCCCCTCCACCTTGGGAGTTTCGACAAAGCCCAGATCTGCGAATAAAAGTTAGCTAGGGTTAGCAGAGTGAGGCCGCAGAGACCAAGGCAGGGTTACTCTGGATGTCCACCTCGCCATTGGCGCTGGCGTCACCGTTGGTGCCGTTAGTGGTCATGGACGACATGGCTACGACTTGCGAGTCTTGGTAAAGAGGAGTCGTGTGCAATGCTGGCCCTCGTGTTGTGTGAATTGCAGAGGAGCTGGGGGAGAGGGTATTCTGTCGTTGAGCAGGACTGGCAAGGCGCGGCGGGTGGAGAAGGGGGAAGTTGCGAGGTTTGGGTGGGAGTTGGGAAAGTATCGCGGGGCTCTTCCTTTCTTATCGTTATCGATGTGGCAGCACTAACAACAGCGGCCAGACTGATATCAGGGGAGACGGAACACGAGAACAATCAAGGGCACAATCAAGACCGGGGATAGGTAACGAACTTTGGGCAGCGGCGGAAAGGGGTCGCGTTACCTGCCTCAGCTAAAAGAGGAATAAAAAAACAATTGCGCGCGTTTGTCGCTTTTCTCGCGTAGGTACATCAAAGAAAGAAAGGAGCATCCCGGCTCTGATGTCACTGCCTCCTTGGCTTCTCCCTGCGGCGCGGTTGCTGTCCTGTCCTTTCTTGCCTGCGACGGCTACAACCAACTTCCCTTCTAGCTCACTCGCTCGCACCTACCTGGCATAATAAATACCGAAATATATACATGTTGCAAGCAGTTTGTTAACCGTCGTCGCCGTTGCCACCTGCCGTCAGGTTTTCTAGAGAGCAAGCGGTTTCCTCCTGAAAGGTGGGCTTGGGCGGCCCCATTTCTTGCTGCTTTTTCCAATCCAACCATTCGGTCTCCGCACAACGGCAACAGTATCGGTCGAAAGTGTCGTCTTCCCACATTAGCGTCCGTCTCCAAAGCCTCTGTGATGGCCCGGAAATCAATCAGAGCCGCAAGCCCCCACCCCGCCTGCGCCGAGCAGCTGGGCGCCCCCCTCGTTAACAATCACCCGGCAAGAATGCGCCAGCTGCAGCTCGAACTGGATCCCGTCATCCGCGACAGCATTCTCCCGTCCCAGTGTGAAATGCCATGTTTTGGTCGTGTTTTTATACCACCAAACGCCTATGTCGGTCACGCTCAGGTCCCTTCCATCTCAAGCAGCTGGCAGAAGTTCCGCCGGGATAGGGTTTCTGTCGCTTCCAACCTTAAAGTTGTACCGAGATGGGACGTTGCCCGAAATGAGGAGCGTCCCAACGAGACCGGCCATGTCTTCGTTCGGAATCGTGTTGTCTCTCTCCATGAGCCCAGTAGGTGATGCAGCAGTTCGATGTCGCGGATGGGCTTCATTAAGACAACCCCTAATCCTTTCTCTTCCTCTATCCGGCCAGGTCTTCAAAATAATCACCCGGCTTGTAAGTTGTCCACAGCCCGTTAATGGAAATGATCTTGCCCAGAGAGCCCAAGTCGATGGCTTTCTTGGTGCCGATGATGGAACAATTGCACAGCTGGTGGCGTTGAACGACGATGTCTTGACTTTGGTGGTCTGGAGGTGGCCAGTTGCTTGCTTCCGCTCGGGAATGCAGGCGGGCGTAGGATTTATTCTCCGTTTGGGACTTCTCTACACATTTCGCTTCGACTGCTATCGCCGAGAGGTCAGATCCACCACGGTTTGCTTCCGTGTGATAGGCCGGACGAGCAGAGTTTCGGACAATTGCCGATATCACTAAATAGCCTCATCAGAATATCTACGGGACTGGGTTTACCCCAAGTGCCATCCATGTTCATTTAAATTGAACGCTGACCAGGCACCTAAAGAATATTCAATGCTCCCATTGCTGGAATAATCATTGTTACTTCACACCCCGTATCTGCGGTTGGATTAACCCCGCATTTCCTGCGGGGCCAGCTTTCTTTCCCCGTAAAACGATGGCGGCATCCCACTGACTCATGGGTACGTCCATAAGCTAGAATAGATAGACAATGTCCACATAACCATATAGAAGATTGACCTGAGGATTCATTCTTGAATCGACCAGTGACATGTGGAACTGGATTTTACACAAGGAACACATGGTTCAAGATTGCTTCGCGTTCTGGAACAATACGCGCACCAGCTACTATACACATATGCTTCATACTGCACCACCGGATAGGAGAAACCTCGGTCAACAGGTTAAAGCCAGTCGGGTTGTGAAGTCCTGCCTTATTTCGTGCACCTGGGATAGCCCCAACAAAAGCAGGTGGCCGAGAGTAATGGGTATCATAGTTTCTCGCAAAGCCCAAGATCAGGCTAGCAGCGAGCTATGCCTTCATCCGTTAGAAAGAACAAACACATATGTTAGGAGAGATAGGACGGAGCTTGGTTATTGGCCTTCCAAAGGAAATCGCGGGCGGAAGCGATTTTAGCCACGAAGAGAACTGGATAAACTTGTAGGCTTGTTTGACCTTCTGCAAATATTTTCATCGAGTCAGATTCCTTCCTCTTACAGGACAACGGAACGGGAAGAATCGGTGCAATTGGTTTGTATGGCCACTGGCATCCGATCTTGTTTGAACATAAGGTGGCTTGTCCTAAGTCAAGATCCATGACACAGAAAATGGTCAGATGCGGGGTGACTGGGAAGCGCCCCAACGAGGAAATTGTTCTGCCTTGGTGTGTGACGATGGTGCCAACCACAAATGCGACTGCATTACTCCTTCGTGGAGATGCCAATTTAGTGGCTGCACGACGTTCAGAGAGAACTTGGGCCTATCTGGGCCACCCTAGCAAGCGCGCTAACTTCCATTCCTAGTGTCCAAAACCACCCTACATTGTGGTAAACCCCTCATGATGGGCTGGAGCATGTAGATCAGGCGTAGATTTGATCCTGCCAGAAGAGCGCAATGGAGTGGACTGGGTCTCCTAGGTAAGTTTAGTCATGCACCTCATGATACCTACACTATTACCTATTCATGAGCGCAGTCCCAGTGGAAAACAAGGGTACCACACCTGAAAGCGCACCACTCACAGGGCCCGGGGTATGTTTTCTTCAGGTTTTTTGCTTTAGATAAGACAGATAATCATGGGACGAAAAAAGAGAGGAACTAATTACTCTCGGTCCCCGACAAACCTTGCCGTACCTCGCATCTGAAAGAGGGGTGGGCAAGCAGAGCGCTGAGGGGCTGTGGTAGGTATTATAAGGTGGCTGCTCTCTTCGGACCCCAGACGTACAAAATACGCATTGTCTTTCCTTGGTAAACCATAACTATTATTCCTTGCGATGCGGGCCCTCTTAACCCTTCTCGAGGTGTTATTATTCGCCTCACATGCTTTGGCTGACTTGGCCGATGACAAGAATAATGATTGTTCGAGCCCTCAATTTCACAACGCGGCGCTCCATGCCGCTGCAGACCCATACGTCTTTTACGACTCTCAAAGTGGACAGTACTATGCATATTCCTCCGAGGGCTCAGATGAGGGCTTTCATTTCGCTATTTACGTCAGCCCAGACCTCTCGACGTGGCGCAAATATCCCGGCGGAGCTTTGAAGGCGTGCTATGACGATCAAATGAACCGCCTAGATGGCGGCCAGGCCTGTTGGGCTCAAGACTGGTACTGGGCTCCCGAGACTTACTACAACGAAGGGACGGGATGGTACTTCTTCGTCTTCGCCGGCCGTCTGCGCAAGGATCTCGCCAAAGACTACTTTCGATATTCCAATTTTGAGGAGCCATCGAAGCTGGGCATAGCTGTTTCCCGCTCACCCACAGGGCCATTCGTGGAGATCAAATCAGAGCCAATCGGTTACTACCCATTCGACCCCCATTATCATGATGTCAATCTTATTATGGATGATAAGCAAATGCTGCCGCCAAGCACCCAGGAAAAAGGAACGACGGCGCCGAAGGGGACTTACATCCCTACAATCGACCCTAACATTTTCTTCGACAGAGACGGGCGTATCTATCTTTATGCATCACGAAACGCGTACCGCAATTGGAACTGGGATAAAAGTCTAGGGAAATACATCGAAGAATCTAACATCATTGTTGTCGAGATGGACCGAGCATGGTGGGATGACCCTTTTGCAAGGACAATGCCAGAGATAGCGTCTTCGCAAATCAACATTCATGCCAATGATGCACCGGGCCTCCCAAGCAATATTACAGCTTACAATGGTACCGGCGAGATCGGGAACCCTCCGCGAAAAGACGGTTGGCAGACGGTCATATCCTACGGCGCAGACCCGCAGGATTGGGAGAACTTTCATGTTGATGATTACGTGAAGTTCAATGGCACAAAGAAAGATAGGCGTTGGTCAGAAGGCAGCACAATCATCACCCGCGACGGCCCCAAAGGCGAGCCGGTTTACCTGCTGACCTACAGCGCTAACAACTACGAAGCGTCAAACTACGGCGTGGGTTACGCGACCTCGAAATCACCATTGGGCCCATTCCGCAAGTCTTCACAGAATCCCGTGCTTTCTCAGGCACCTGACGGAGAAATTCCGATCTACTCTACGGGACACGGTAGCATAGTGACGTCTCCTCCTGCCGACACAGATGCCGCATTCGGCGCGCAGGATGTCACTCGCCAGGACTTGGAAGGTGCTGAGCTGTTTTATGTACACCATGCCCGCAACGATACTATGCAAGCCCGCTCCATCTACACCACTCGAATGGCTCTCAATGATTCAGAAATCTACTTCGGTTCCAACACTGCCATTAGCATGAGTTTGACACCACTTGACCAGCCTCTTCCGAAAAACACTGGTCCTATCGATTTCAATGTCGGCTGCTCTAGAAATAGGAGCTCTAGTACTCAATTTGTCGTCCGCGTCAGTTCACAGGCCGGTGCTCCATTCGATCTCACAGAGGAGACGAACAGGGTCGTTGCGCTTCCAGATTTTGTAGAGGCAACCTCAACTGAGCTCGGCAACAACCAAGACAACGGATATGTCCTCCAATTTAGTGGCGAATCTGTGACAGGATTGGCTTATCAACGCCTTAGCGTCAAGGGGAATTAGGCTACGGTTGCGACGGCAGGTATAAGTTATATAGGAGCAAAGCGTCGGCTTTATCTCCTGTAAATATAAGAATTATTTACCGCTTCAACAGAGAAGACTTCTCAAAGTATGAATAGAAGTGGTAGTACCTGTCTAAGAAGCTCAGAACATGTTATTTAATAATACAGGTTTATTTTAAACTATAGATATAATATTAAGTACAGGAAACTTAGAAGATAGAAGATATCAGCTTTTAGCTTATCCTAACAACCTATTCTAGTAAAAGAATATCTAGAATTTAAATTTATAATTTATCTAGTAGAGAGAAGTAGCTGCCGATCCAAGTTTGTAACAAAGGGAGAATCTCTACTGTTACTATAACAAGAAACAAGTTACGCTTATGTTACTTACTAAAACCACAAGAGCAGGCATAAATAACAAGTCCGCTACCTTCTAGGGAAAAGGTATTAAATCTTCTCTTCGTATTTAAAGTATATATCAAGCTAGCTTAAATGTATGCTTCTAAGGCAAACAAGCATTTTATAAACTTAGGTATTTAAAGCAGTAACTAAAGCTATTATTACTAGCTAGCGAAGACACTTGCCTAACAAGTCTGACCTATATGCATGCCGATTTATATAGGCAAGTATAAAGGCCTCCAAAACTTAACTGGCATCACTGTCTCGGCCAAAACGGCTTACGAAATGTGCTGTGAAATCTAAATAGTCTTATGTTACTAAGGATAAGATGAATACAGCCTCGAATTCCCAATCTTAGAGAGATGCCGTGAATTAACTCAAATACCCCCCATTTGCACCACCCCCACATTTACACCATTTTCACCACTATTATCACCACCACTATCACCACTTATTTCACCTTCTCTGCCGCCCACCTATATGCAACTTTTGGCCTTACTAGGTAATTCAGATGCCCTAGATTTATCCAGACTATCTATATTGCCAGTATCTGGACTTTAGGCCTGGATTATATCCTCTATAGTAGTAAAGGTGCTGTTAGGAGATAGTTAGACCTTTTTCTTCTTACGTGACTATATATTATCTAACTAGGCCTATAAAGAGCTAACTTACTTTTTTAGAAGGGCTACTTTAGATACCTACTTATTATAGCCCTTTTATACCTTTTAAGATAGGTAATACATAGTATAGGTATCTAGCTTATCCTAGCCTGTCTAGTTAAATAGTTATAATTAATACTATAAATTATTAAATCTTTTAAGTGTTAACTATTAGATAATAAATATAGCTTTATCTTACTATTAGCTACTAGTCTACTAGCTAGGCTAGCTTTATTAGGCCTTAGTTACTATAAAGTTAGATAAAAGGCGTCTTATATAAATAGGCTATAATCTAGCTAACCTTTAGCTACTACTAATATTCTTACCTATAATAGCTACTTTATAGGCCTTAAAATAACACTTTAAGAATATCTTTTTACAAGCTATAGTTAAATCTATAACCTAGTTATCTAGATATTTAATTTTTTAGTAATAGGCTGTTATAGCTAGTTTCTAGACAGTAGGGTTTCTACTAATAGTAAGCAGAGGTCAATACTAAGTTAACAGTGTTTGTTATTCTTACTAGTCTTATTAATCACTTAGTAATTAGTTAGGTAGTTAAGGGCGTCTTAGTGCTCATATAGCTTCTTATTAATTAAATTACTAAGGTTAGATACTAAAAGGTATTTAAAGAATATATTATAAGTTAATTACTAAAGAGCTGTAGAAGTCTGTCCTTAACTATATCTTAGTCTATTCTATATATAAGTCCTAGCTATTCCTTAAATAGTTCCTTCTAACTAATAGTTATAAGTAATTACTATCTTTATATAAGGTAAGTACTTAGTAGATACTAGTAAGCGCTTACTTTTATAATTACTAGTAATTACCTTATTATATAATTACTTTTTTATCTCTATATAACTTATACTATAGTTCTTTTGTTCTAGGGAGTTATCTATTTATTCCTTTATTTCTTATTTATATAAATACTACTGCTACCTATTGTCTGCCTGTTAGGTAAGGTAATATAGCCTTTAACTTATTAGGTTATAATATAGGCCTACTTTAATAGGCTAAAAATAGCTATATCTAGAGGCTAGAGTATAGTAAAGAAGTATAGTAGTAGAAATAAAAAATAAATATAATACTACTAGTATTACTATATGTTAGAATATCAATCCAGCGACATTCATACTTAAGGCCAATTCCGTTACAACTAAGTGGCGGGCCCGCTTTTTAGGTTACTTAGAGGTTATAAGCCCAGATGCCTCAGTGGTTAGGCCACAACATTCATTACCCCACATAAGCTAAGGGGTGCGCGTTTAATTCGCGCTTGGCGCCGTAAGTCTTAAAAGTGCAGGCGCGTGCGACCGTGAGTCCAAAACAGGCAGGCGCACAGACCAGCCGGGTAAGGTCAGTTCTAGAAATACCCTTAAAGGGGGCTGTTAGAATATTAATCTAGTAATATTTATACTTAAGGCTAATTCTGTTATAACTAAGTGGCAGGCCTGCTTTTTAGGTTGCTTAGAAAGACTTCTTTTTTACCTTAGATAAGTTTTTTTTACTTTTTTATATTAGTTAAGTAAGTTATTCTTTTTATAAAAAGTTTTAACCTTAGCCTTTAATAAAGTGTTCTTATATATAATTTCTAATACTTCTTTAAGAATATACTTAGTAGCTATTAATCTATATATTAGGGAGCTATCTAAATAATTAATAAAGTAATCCTTAATAAGAGTTCCTTAAGAAAATATCTCTATTATATTATATAGTGTCTAGGAAGTCTAAGCTAGTAGTGTTATTAGAAGAGATCCTAAAGGTAGTAAAGTATATAACTTTATATCTAGCTTTAATAGTATACTTTCTAGACTTAGAGAGATAAGCCTTACCTCTTTAAAGCCTCCTTAAATATTTACTTTTATAAAAGCTTACTTAAAGGCGTTATAAAATACTAAAAAGAAGTTATTTTTTATAATATAGGTATTACCTTATTATATCTTATTCTTAATTTCTTAACTATATACTAGCTTAAAAGGCTTAAAACACCTAATATCTAAAGGCTAAAGTAAATAAAATAAATAAGGTAGTATATAAAAAGTAATAATATTATTTTACTTATAATATAGCTTAAAGTCTATAAAATAGTAACTATTATACCTATTAATAATAAAAAAGTAATATTTCTTTTTTATATATAACTTTAAATATTAATTAAAGTACTAAAGCTAATTTAGGTCTTTTTATTTATTATTTATTTAGTTTTAGACGTTATAATAACCTAGTTAGGTAAAAAACTAGATTTTATATACTAAGTAAAAGAAAGATTTTTACTTTTAATAATAATATATAGTTAGACGCTATAACTAAATAAACTAATAGCCTAAATAACTATAATCTATTCTTAATTTCTAGGCTATAGTATTTTTATATTTAAACGTCTTTTAAAGCTTATAATAAGTATTCTAAATATAATCTAGCCTATTATAAAGCTAGTCTTATTAAAGTTAATAAATATTAGACTTTATAATACTATATTTTATAATTATATTTACTATAAGGTAAAACTATATATTTACTACGTCTAGATCTTTATATTAAGCCCTCTTATAGTTATACTTATAAAAAAACGCGTTTAGAGCTTTAGTGTTTATTTAATAAAGTTTAAGGCCTAGCGCTTACTAACTAGAGGCGTATTATAGTTAATAAGTAGTTAATTAGCTATTTCTTTAACACTACTAAGGTAGAGAGGAAATAATTAGGAATCTAGGTTAAGAATAAACTTAACTAGCTTTCTCTCTTTAAGTTTTATTAAATTCTATAAGTTAGGTATAATATTATATTATAATAGTATACTTTTTAATTAACGCGTTACTAAATTATAACTAACATTATATATCTTTACTATAGCTTAAATACTAAGTTTTAGATCTTTTTTATACGCTTAGACAGCTAGCTATACCTAAGCTTTATTATAAGTTAATTTTATTATTATTAGTAGAGGAATAAAAAAGAAATATTAGATAGTTAGATAGTTATAGTTTAGTAGCGCGCTTACTTATCTAGTGCGCTTGCTTATTATATATGTTATAGGTAGTTATATTATTACTTTTACTTATTTACTATATATTTCTTAAAGTTATTTCTTTTACTTAGTATAGTTATACTAAGGAGTAAAAGTAGGTTACTTTTTTTTTATACTTATACTAGTGTTTCTCTTATATTAAATTATTCTTTACCTATATAATAACTTCTTATAGTCTTTTATTTTTTTCTTTTTTTTCTTTCTTTTATATTAATATAATCTATATATTATCTTTTCTTTTTACTACTACACTACTACTACTCTTTATATAAGTACTAACTACTTATTATAACCTAATAAGGTATAAGCTATATTACTTTACCTAATAAGTAGATAATAGGTAATAATAGTATTTATATAGACAAGAGAATAAAAATAAATAGATAACTCCTTAAAACAGAAGAACTATAGTATAAGCTATATAACTATAAGCATAAGATAAGATAAAAAATAAGCGCTTGTTTATATATAAGATAAGCGCTTAGTAAAGACCTAAGAAGACGCTTATTCTAGCTTATAATAATTAGATAATAGGCAGTTTAGAAAACAGCTAGAACTTATATATAAGATAGACTTAGATATACTCTAGGGCAGACTTCTATAGCTCTTTAGTAATTAACTTATAGTATATTCTTTATATACCTTTTAGTATCTAACCTTAGTAATTTAATTAATAAGAAGCTATATAAGCACTAAGACGCCCTTAACTACCTAACTAATTACTAAGTAATTAATAAGACTAGTAAAAATAATAAACACTATTAACTAAGTATTAACCTCTACTTACTATTAGTAAAAACCTTACTATCTAGAAACTAGCTATAACACTTTAATTACTTCTACTAAGTAAGTTAACCTTAATACTTACCTAATAGTAAAGTATAATAAGATATTTACACTATAAACTACCTCTATTTT